GCAGATGGGACATATCTCATCCAACCAGCGGACGACTTGGACATGCTCATGCTTTGGCACAGAAGGCTCCCGCTTCGATCCTGGAATTGATTATACATTTTATTCTTGTCTAGAGCTTTTCGCCCTCATGCTTCTTAAAGGGACTATCATAATATATTGATAGCTAGTCTCCTTTATTCCATTTAGTGTGACATTATCAAACTTTTGAGAGTAGAAATGTAACGCGGTGCCTTCATTGTTTGGAGCATTATGATGAACGAACTTTCCAACTTCTCATACTCGCTGTGGACCACCAGGACATTGAGGAGATCATAGTGGTCTTAGCAGTTACAATATCCTAACAGGAGCATGCCCAGAGTAGTGGCAAGCAGCCCGCCCTTGAGCGTAACAGCTAAACTCTTCGGCCTACAGGGTTATTATCAACGACACACTTGCAATCCAGCGGTCAATCACATTACAAAAGCAAGGCAAAAAAAATAAAAAATGGAAAAACATACAACAGAAGGGATTCGCTGGTGGTCACCCACCCAACTACTAACCTCCCGGCGTGTGGCTTAAGTACGGCTGAGCGGACGGGAAGCCCTGTTTTCCACACCCTGTGGTCGTATGTACTAGTTATCATTGTGAAAAGGCTGATATAGCATATTTCTTGATGAAAACTGCGTGTAAACTTGGCTACGAGGGAACGCGGCAGTCTTATGCGTAGGTTCTGAAAACCACGTCCACACTTGGTAGTTGATACTGAAGAGGCATATATAATAGTAGAAAGCTAGATGGTAAGATTATAGACCAGATGCCTACGGTTATTATAACTGACCATGTCAGGTAAGACGTATCTGGATATATTAAGAGTATTGTAAATAATTGAGGGGGGGTTATAGAGCATGATGTTTACTATTCATATCTCTCCCTACTCCAGATCTTTTAATGTGGTTGATAGACAATTTCTTACTTGGTCCTAAGTTTTTCCTGTATACTCTATCTATTTGACTACCACATGATTGGTAGCGCAAGTGGTGTTGTCATGATTTCATCGATAACTCACATCCGAGGATGAACCGTACTAGGTATATATTCTAGTCATCAGAAGTCCACATGCCCACCCAGCAACACATCAAAAAGCACGACCGGACTGTAATAGAAACAATCCAGCCCGATCTAACGCAATTACTGACAGTATCTTGTAGGCCATACCTGAAACCAAGTTAACAAGAGCATGACATAGTCATGAAATGAAAAGCCTGCGACCTATCCTGAAGGATCGATCCTCTCATGTCCAAGTCCTCATGTTAACGGCACACACAAGAAGTCTTTTTCCACCCTCTGATTTACCCCTCGCTTGTAATGTAAAATATCGAAGGCTCACTCAACAGGCATGGCCGGATGGTGTAGTTGGTTATCACGTATCGTTAACACCGATAAGGTCCTGGGATCGAGCCCCAGTCTGGTCATACTTTTTGCCAAGCATTGCTTTTTGCACTGATGACAATCAACGTTTTGCATGCTGCTAGGGAGCATTGTGTACGCTTCCTTTTGTCAAATATCTCTTTTTTTACATGTCCGTGAGCCTGATTCGTATTCAACTGCACCCTTTTGTCTCAATGCCATGTTGGTCTACAGGTTACCCCATTCCGGCTACATTTCGACGAAATCCCAGTAGGGATGGGTATGTTGCTTAGTATCGCCCAAGCTTCACCTACTCCTTATTATATATGTCAAAGAAATGGACAAAGTAGCTGGTGGAGCTGTTACTCGATCTTTATACGTACAGCTTCTGTTGCCGAGTGCGTAGTTCGCTATACAAGTCCGCGCGATCGACTGACCATTTCTGGGGATAATCCCAGGTAGTTATATGCATGCCAAAGCTAACATGCAGCAACTTGGCAGCATTTGAGTCTTGTATGGACAAAGAAAAAAGACAGGTGTAGTAGTATATAGCTGAAGCTCGATTCTAGTCAAGGTATGGGTGGCAAAAACAAAAACAAAAAGTAATGACCAGACTGGGGCTCGATCCCAGGACCTTATCGGTGTTAACGATACGTGATAACCAACTACACCATCCGGCCAACTTGTTGAAAAGTAGGTAGATCCCTCGCTACAGAAGCCAAAATATATGGTTTGGTATGGTTTTGTGCATACGCGCTAAAGAAGCATTGCCACGGGGTAGCTGTGCTCTTGAAAGAAGACGTTATGCTCCCAGGTCTTGGCTCTACCACAAAGGTATAAATAGCCATCTAGGTAGGTACTATGGTTCAGTGTCAAGGTTTTTGCCTCTAGGCCCTTTGGCGGGGCCTAAAAACAAAGATATTCTTAATGAAGGGTTACAAATCATGTTGCGGCCAGGGAGGTACTGAGGTCTTTTGGTAATTTCGGGCCACCTTTGGGTTCTCTTCAGTCGCTGTGCGAGAGTAGCGTCTTCGGAAAGATAATTGGTCGGTTGTGATGATTTATAGAAAGTGTACCTACGCTCAGCATCGCAGTAGATGTAGTTGATCTTCGGCTAATCCAGCCAGGCAATCATCGTGGTCCTGTAAGGAACAGTTAATGAACAGGACTGCTGTGTATCACCCCCAATTTAGCATAGGCCCAGAGGTGAAGAAGTAAGCCGGCGAAGCAGTTTCAGTTTCTTGCTTTCGTGATACATTTCGTCACATATCTCCTGCCCACTTTGGAACCAAATAAACTTTCATCTCAGCCAAGCTATGTTGGTAGACCAATGCTATCTCTGTATATGATGTAGGGATCGGCGGTCAAAGCTTATGCAGTAGTCACTGAAACCTAGTCATATGTAGATGCTACTGAACACACGTCCCTAGGAGTACAGCAATAGACTCATGCTCGATTGCGTCAAACATGGAGCTACTAGCCATAGCAGGTCTGCTCTGGGCCATTAGCAAGGCTTGTATATATAATGTATCCTTGCTTCACACTCATACTTACCAGCTTGAATGGCAGTAATCATAGCATCATGGACTGCACTGAAAGCGCCCGTGAAAGGCCCTCGCGGTGGCGCAACAGCCACGAAGCACATAATTGCCATGGCCGTGCGGACTTTCTTCGAAACTGTCACAATAGACCAGTTCCGGTAGGTTGCAACAATTCCACACCCAGGCACACTTCTTGATAATGAGCTCCAGGTATGCTTATTCCCCTGATACCTCCGCTCGGCTTCTCGAAGCATGGGCACGTCGCACACACACGACCTTAAACACCGTCAAGCTGCCTGACGGGACCACCGTGTTCTGGCTAGGCAATCCAGACGCCGAGCGACTGCTCCTCCATTTGCCAGGCGGCGCATACTGCCTCCCTGCCTTGCCCTCCCACATCGACTATTCCACCTCCATCCTCAAGCATCTGGGACAAGCGGGTATAAATGCCGGCATGCTCTTCCCCCCTTATGAACTAACCCCAACAGCTCGATATCCTCATCAGATGAAGCAGGCTGTGGCGCTCCTCCAATATGTCATCGAGGACTTGGGGAGGCGGCCGTCTGATATTGTGCTGCTGGGTGATTCTGCGGGTGCACATCTTATCTTGTCCGTCCTATCTCATCTTGCGCATCCCCATCCTCACATTCATCCCCTACTCTTGCGTGAGAACCTTGCTGGGGCATTGTTGCTTTCACCGTGGATGGGCGAGTCTCGGACCGATTATGACAGTTGCCGGAGAAACGCGTCGCGGGATCTTGTCTCACCTGGGCTATTGACTTACTGGGCAGACATGTTTCTTGGAGATGCTGAATTCGATAGCTATAACCGGCCTGCGGGTGCGCCTGAAGGCTGGTGGCGGGATTTGCCTGTGGAGGAGATTTTCATTGGGGTGGGAGGATATGAGGTGTTGTATGATTCGATTATAAAGTCTGCTAGGAAGATTAAGGTCAGTGGCTCTAAAATTTTGGGGTGTGACATCTACTAATATGTCTTTCTTCGTTTAGGCAGAACATACTGGAGTCACCATTAGTATTACCCATCTTGAGGTCCATTGCGAGGCCCTTTCGCCTTTCAATCCAGGAGTGGTTTCGCCGGATCAGTATAGAGCATTGCTGGCATGGTTGAAGGGTATCTTGTGCAAGTGAGGGAATAGCATACCCGATAGACAACGGGTGAGGGCCGAGATCTTCATTATGGCTAGATTCAAGAATGCTCTAATCCATGGAAAAAAGTGAGCGGTTAGATGTCCAGAGAAAGATGAGATCTGCTATACCGTTGATACAATGAAGACAGCCTACTAACACACAGTTGAACTAAAACATGCGCGACTTCGACCACAAACAAGCCACCCCTTCCTTTTCTCATTGTTTCAATAGAGAGAGAGACAGACAAACAAACAGCAAAAACAAAAAGAAGAGATGGAGTTGAAGGGGATCGAACCCTTGACCTCTCGCATTTCCCATTTGAGGATGCGAAGCGAGCGCTCTACCACTGAGCTACAACCCCCGGTAGACACATACATCCCTTCATTATAGGATTGGTGTGGCAAATTAATGCCATATAGCTTGACCCATACCATATCAGACCAGACCTGTTATCAACAAAACCATGCTTTGATCATACATGCCCACCCACCTAATAATGTGCGGATATCCTCGAATATTTCAATTTGTAGCCATCTTATTTCCTATCTGGATTTTGAATGAATTGTGTTTTTTACTTATCACAGCTGCTACCTGCGTACTGCGGTTGGGCAATAATGGATGGCATCACCGGATCGGCCCGTTTCCCCGCAAAGCTTATCCAGCTAGAGTTATACAAGATCGAAGAATTATCAACTACCCCTACGTATATTCAAATTCGTGTAACTGGAGAAGAGAGCTCACTGTTTATCTGCACTTATATAAATAGATAGATGACAGGATCAACTCCACTAACATCAACAAATTAGAATACTGAATATTCAATATCAAGACCAAATAATACACATCACCTCCGCAACCCAACACTCAAACACTACTACATCAGAACACAAACACCATAAATCCACGAACCAGACAAATATACCATCTACAACTCCCCCACAACGCCCCTATACGACCCCCTCTCCCCCTTTATATCCTCCAGCACCCCCTCCCCCCTACACATCCACCCCAACTCACTCCTCGCCCTGCCCCCGGAAGCCCTATTCTCAGCAGCCAAAAACCCAGCAACCACATCCCCCAATTTCTCCTTCGCCTCCTCCACGCCCAGATCCTCCACCGGAACATGCATGATCTCCGCCACCGCCCCCAGAATCTCCCCAACCGTAACCCCCGTCTTATCACCAGCATTATACACACCCCCCTGCACGCCCTTCTCAACAGCAAGCAAAAACAACTCCGCCGCATCATCCACATGCACCGTCGTCGTACGATTCACTCCCCCACCCACAGTAATGATCTTTCCCGCATGCTTCGCCATCTGCATGAATAGTCTGATACCGCTACCGCCACGCCCGTACACGAACGGCGCGAGACGGATGTCCATCACTCTTACCCTTCCATTCGACTTCTCGCCAAGGGCTAGTCCATGCGCGGTGATCTCGTTCCGCGAGACGAGAGGGTGCGTGTCGAGTGGTGAGTACTCGTCGGTTTCGGATCCGTCGGCGTTAGGGCGCACGAGGAGCGTGCCGCTGGTTGTGACCAGGGGTTTAGGGGTGCCGTCTGGGTTCGGGGTGGTGGAGAGGCCGGAGACGATGGCGTCGAGAGCGGCGGTGTCGATGTCTTTGATGGAGGCGTAGCTGGGGGTTTGCCCGAAGACGAAGGCCGTCGCGAGGTGGATTACGGCGGTGGCGGAGGCGCTTTCGGTTCGGAGCGTCGATAGGCTGGTTAGGTCACCTCGGATTGGGGTGACGCCGAGGGAGAGGAGTTTGCTGTCCGATTGAGGGGTGCGCGAGAGGGCGCGGATGGTGTAGTTGCGTGAGAGGGCGAGGGGGATTAGGGCGCTGCCGATGTAGCCGCTGCCGCCGGTGAGGAAGAGGGTTTTGGTGGTGGTGGTGGTCATTTTGGGGTTTGGTTTGGGGGTTGAAGGTTGTTGATGGTGTGGTTGTTTGTAAGGTGTGTGAGGGTGAGGGATTGATTGTTGGAAGGGTGAAGGGTTGGTTTTATACTGGTTTTATAGATAGTGGTTGTTTGAGGGTATAGTATCTACTATGCATGCTTAGGGCTCGGTGATAAGTCGGCAGGCGATTGGTTATGTCCGTGCAGATGAGATGCCGTCGGGGTTCGGGTCTTCGCGGTTTGGACTCTCCGTCGGGGCTAGAATGTGTTGGTTGATTGGTTGGATGGGGTATGTCGAGTATGATATTATTAATGATCCTGATCCTTCTAATCCTTCTGTTTCTGAAGAAGTGGAGTAAAGGGACAAGTAGGAATGTGAGTCTGTGCTATTGCTATTGCTGAGAGTTCATTTTCGGCTAGTCATACGTTGTCTGAATTTGCCATGTATTGTGCCCAGTCTATGGACGCATCTTCTCCGGTCATTGAAGCGATCTTGAACTAGGTGCCGTCTCACGCCACTGCTCTCTGTCGCGGACTTGAGAGAACATTAAGTCCTTTGATAAAAATCAAGCCTCTGCAGCAGGTTAGTAGACCCTACCACGACGGTTGACCATGTAGCTTACCCGCTCTCATCCGTCACTTTAGCACCCGGTGCCAATTGAATGTTGTAGCGCATAAGAAGGGTGGGAACGAGCTAAGTCGAGATTAGTATACCGGCATTAGTAAAGATACAGGGAAGCAGGCTATACCTTTGACATCTCTAGCCAACTTATGTCTGAGAAGGGTGTCAGCATTGTCATCACAACCAGTCAACATTTGGCCAAAAGACTCACTCCTTCCAACGCAAGTGCGGGAACCACCGCCAAATGCGAAATAGAATCGTTCTGAATCAGTATGAGCAGTTGCCTCTATACCGGTCGGATTACTTACTGAGATTTCCCACATCCCCTTCCAGCCACCTCTCCGGGCGGAATTCCTCAAAGTCAGGACCCCATATCTCGGGGAGGCGGTGAATTACCCACGCAGATGACCCGACCACCGTCTGAACTTATGTTACAAGAGGCGCTCAAAGATGAGAAGTAGGAGATAACTTACGCCCTCTGGAACATAGTACTTTCCAACCTTCATACCCCCCTCCGGGACATCACGGTTCAGCTGAAGTCCAGCAGCAGGATACAGTCGGAGCGCCTCATACATCACAGCCTGCAGATAAGGACAGGATTCTGCTTGCTGGAATGTTACCAGATCACTAAGCTCTCCGGTGACTCTCTTCTCTTCTAACTCTTGCATCAGTCTCTGGTAGACGGTCGGATTTGTCAGCAGGAGGTAAAATATCGCATTGAGCGATGTCGCCGTCGTATCTGAGCCGGCAAACACATTCGCAGTCAACATATATGCCATGTCCGTGTCACTAAAGTGAGGCTTAGTCTTCTGAATTGCAAACAGCTGGTTTACGATATCTCGGTCATCACCACCCCGGTCTTTCCGCGAGATGATCTCTTGAGCTGCAAATTGGTAAAAGTAGCCATTTCGATCATTGACTGCCAACCAATTCCCAATTAATGGCTTGAGCACTTGATGAAGATCGTAGAACCAGGGTACGTTCATGAGCCAGGACATTGACCGCAACGATTGCTTGAGCCGAGAAAACACGCCATCGTCGCCCCCAGCAGTGACATAGCCAAACGGGCGTGAGAAACTGACTGCACCGATTACATCTTCATGATCATACATCAGTGAAGCCCACAGTTGGATGCACAACGTACGTACCAAATGCGAACAATTGCAGAAATAGTCCAAGGTCAACAACCCCGGACAGGGTGTCCAGCTTTTGCACCATGCTCCTGAGGAGAGAGCTGACATTGGGCTCGAGATGAACCATCGAGTCCATTGAATAAGCACGTGCAACGAGCTTCCTCTGTTCGCCATGTATCTTTTCGTTCCGCTGGCGGAAGAGGTCAAAGGCGTGAATCTCTTTTGGGACGCTATATGACGCGGATTTGACGAATTTTCCTCCCGCCTCTACCGACACTCAGTGGGGCTTGAATTATTGGAACGTGTTCAAGAAACTTACTATATATTTCCCTGAACGCTGTCGGGTCCGCTACGCTTCTGGATATACGCTCAGTTACGAGTTCAGCGCCACGCAAGGGCAAACTAACAACACGTTTGGTCCTGTGCGTACCACTGCACCATACCTCCGATGAAGTGCAAGGTACTTGCGATGGCCTTGTCCCTCGTAGGTGAGGTATGCCCGATGCCAGTTGGTAAGCTTGGCCAAAAAGGGGCCCGGAATCCGGGCCAAAGGAGACAGAAAGCATTGGTAAATAACATAGCCGCCAGTGCCGAGGAGCAAAAGTATGCCAGCGGTGAAAGCATTGAAAATTAGGGATAATAGCTGCATTATGGGCGATCGAGCTGTCAGTTTGGAAAGGCACACAATCAAGCTTTGAGCGGGGAGCGGATGATAAAGGGTATTTATAGGTCGACTTATGAACTAATGCAGAACCACAGATGCATTGTCTACGCTGCCCTCCTAGAACCACATCATCGGCACAGCAGGGTTGTCACAGAGTTGCTATGCAGCAAAGGTCCAGCACATGTAACAGTGGATTGAATACCTTGTCGTCGCTCTAGTGAGGGGAAATATCGGTGGCAGCGGGATATTCGGTACTATGCACAAAACTGCCAGCATAGGAGTAGCACAAGACTCAAGCTAGCTGGGGGCCGCGCCAACTCCCTGCTTCGATGTTCTGCAACCGACATCTCCGCACCAAGCTAGGCCTCTTGCCCCACAGCAACGGTGATCTGCCGAAGACAATGGTGCGTTATTGTGCCGGCCACCCGCAATGTCCAATCATTTATCCGCCATATCGCATATCCAAGACCTCGGTGTTGCTGTCAATGTCTCACCGCCATCCCCGCCTTGAATGAAGTGGGACTGTGTCCATGTGGAAGTTCAGGAAGCAGACCGCACTCGAGACGATACTCGTACATTGTCGGTAGACGTATTTGCCTTCTTTCACCAGTACTTGACAGGGTTATGAGGTGAAAACAATCTAGCTCTGATTTTGAATCAGAAACCATCCTGTTTCTCTTTATCAATAGGCAGGAAGGTTAGGGGCATGAGAGCTCCGTAGATTGGGAAAACCAACCAGGGCCGGGCTCCAACTCCTGATGTATTTGGAATCTGAACTGTGTCTTGCAATCGAGAGCATGTGGAAATTATGTCATATAGGGCGGTTGTCAATTCTGGATGGACTGGTGATCAAAACGTTCCCTGTCTCCATTAGCTTGTTGCGATTGTGTTCGTTTGAAAGGTCGTGCTTTGACGGCATGTGAGATTCACAGCAGTTTCGTGATTCAACCGGCGATATTACGTGTAAGTAACTACTACCATAGCCATCTATAATTGACAGGTCCTCGGACAACCTCCATCACAAAGGTACTCAACCTCCCAGTTCCGGTCTTTCCATCATCCTGTAGGTCCGATACGATTTGATTCAATGGCACAGAGTATTGCGATAAGTCTATAGCTCAAGAAGAGACCGGATTTCGATTGATTGCGTATGAGAGGCAAGTTACCCAAGGTGCGACCGCATGATCTCTTTTATGCAGATGCAAGAGCACAGCTGGCATGTGCCCCATTTAGCTGTTGTAGCGGCTAAGTGTCCATCGAGGCTGAAGGCCAGTTAGAGTAGATGCCGGGAGAATGTTATAATAATATTATGATATTATTATCTTAAGGGATAAGGATTGTCATTTGATCTGGTGTAGTCATCATCGAGCGCAATCTGCCTGGCCTCGCTAGTAGAATGGCCTAGCGTCCGTAACATTGTTGTTGATGACCTCATGACTCCAGATACTGCTCCATATCCCATTTCGGTGCTTCCGTTCGCGGGTCATTCTGGATGGAAGGAGATAGAGACTTCTGCACACGTCTTGCTCGAAACCCTAAATACCACCCCGTGCATTGAAGAAATCCGCGCTGCTGTTACATCACTGTGAGGTGATCAATGTAATCTCCGGGTCTGTATCACATACTCAACATTCGCTCATAGTGTAAGGATCATTGAAATGAACTCGTACAATTATATAATTCTCAACAATGCTGGAACAGACTCGACCTACTGGCGGACAGTACTATCCTCTGCTAGTACCCATCACCTCAAATACACCAGCACAATGCAATTTCCTTACCAGTGGGCTTTATTTGCCACAAATACGTGGAAACACCTAGACTCCCCTTCATCCGTAGTCATAGCTCCTTCTCCTTCAGCTACAATAGTCGGAGAGAGCGAGGATACGAATGTCCAGGTGTTCAAAGGCATTCCATATGCGAAGCCTCCCGTCGGCTCCCTTCGTCTTCGGCCTCCCGAACCAATAACCACGGACTTGGGCACCGTCCAAGCAACGGACTACCCTGCAGCATGTCTCCAGCAGGACAAATCGGAGTCTAAATGTGCGCCCTTGCCGCCCAATGTTGCTTCTCTCCTGGGACCGACAACCCCGAATCCTCAAAGGATCAGTGAGGATTGTTTGACGTTGAATATATGGCGGCCAGCAGATGCTGAGCCAGATTCAAAGCTCCCGGTCCTCTTCTGGATCTATGGCGGTAGTTTTGAAGTCGGAAGCTCCATGGACCTTTCAGGAACGCCTATTGTCAATGAATCCATTAAGCAGTCTATGCCAATAATATTTGTTAGCGCCAATTACCGTCTGGGTGGTTTTGGATTTCTGCCCGGAAAAGTGGTGAAAGATGCTGGAGTGAGCAACCTCGGTCTGCAGGACCAGCGTCAGGCGCTGAAATGGGTGGCAGATAATATCGAGTCTTTTGGTGGTGATCCTGACAAAGTGACAATCTGGGGTCAGTCTGCCGGTGCTCATTCAGTCTTTCATCAAATGGCACTGTACAATGGCGACATCACATATCATGAGAAACCCCTGTTCCGGGGAGGGATCATGAATTCTGGCAATACCTGGCCTGTCAATCCGGTGGATGGAAGGAGAGGTCAAGCGGTATATGATCAGGTTGTCGACACGGCAGGCTGCTCCTCGGCTGATGATACCTTGTCCTGTCTGCGTGGCTTGCCCTATGAGGACTTTCATAAGGCTGCCAATTCTGTCCCAAGTCGCTCGGGATATTATGCTCTTTCTCTATCCTATTTGCCCCGACCGGATGGCAAGGTGGTTACTGCTTCCCCTGACGAAGCCGCCAATACCGGAGCCTACGCCAAGGTACCATTTATTGTCGGGAATCCGGAAGATGATGGATCAGCAGTGGTATTAAATCTGACCAATATTACCACACAAGCAGAAGTGAGCGACTACCTCCGGAACTATTACTTCTTGGACGCGAGCAAGGAGCAAATGGACGAACTCGTTTCCATTTACAATGATGATGATAAGTATGGTGCACCATTTCATACACAACCATCAAATTCGCTGTATTCTCAATCCAAGCGTCTGGCTGCTATCCTGGGAGACTTCACCGTCCTCCAAACCAGACGGTTTATTCTGTCCTACAACCAGAGGAACCGACAAGACAACGGAGCATGGTCGTTCATCTCATCTATCTTTAAGGGTATTCCATTTCTGGGCACCTTCCATGGTAGCGAGTTGTATATTCGCGAGATCAATGATATGCTTGTACGGAATTTCCCGGACCTTTTTACCGGAGATGCTGAACGTGTGGTGTCCTCGATCTGGTCATACTATCTCTCTTTCATAACTTATCAGGACCCAAATAAGAGCAACAATACTCTGCAGTGGCCGCAGTGGGGGGACGACGAGAAGCTGATGCATTTTGGCCGGGATGAAGATGACATCATTGTGGATGAGTTCCGAGCTATTGTTCCAAATTCATCGTTGAGAACGTCGCTTCTTTACGCCTCTGATGGGATACTGCCATTATCTTATATTTTAGATTACTCACTGGACACTAATATCTGGATACAAATATAAACAACGAAAATCAAATAAGCAAAGCAAAATAAACATAAAAAATAAATAGAATTATATCATATAATTCAGTCATATATCTCTAAACACTACTCATTATTATATTATTCTTCCTTACTAAGACTGGTTGTTCTCAGCTAGGAGAATGTTATTATTTTCATACTAATCTATATAAGCGTCAAGTTGCCTCGGCTTTGTCGATACCTGGTTACTTTCGTTTGGCAACAGGATGCGTAGTGAACTATGGCTGGGTGTTCGAATACCGTGTGGCAGAGGATAGCGACTACCGCATGGTTGCATGACCCTCAGGAAGCAGCCTCAGAAAGCTCTCTGGGTGACAATGAACGGTACGTTGGTGGTGTTGTAGCCTTATCATGGTGGGTGTGGGTGGATACTGTATGCTTCACGGGATACTAAAACATACGTGGGGCAAAGAGAGAACAAAGGCAAAAAAGAATGACCAGACTGGGGCTCGATCCCAGGACCTTATCGGTGTTAACGATACGTGATAACCAACTACACCATCCGGCCACGCTTGTTGAAGACGTGTCAATATTTTGGCTTCATTAGCTACAGTTAAAGTCCCATTAGTTTCTTTTGCAGTATTGATTTATCCTAACCCACGTCTAGTACGTCTAGTATCCTATACTCGAATCGAATGCACCTATTTACTCATACATTCAAGCTTCGAGCCCATAAGGAAGGGTCGACTGTAAGAAAGATAAGCGTTCCAATCTCTTGATTATAGATGTGACCATGATTTTTGATTGTGCCGCGTATCGGGATCTAACACTGGTGTTCTGAGGTCGGGTGCCCTACGAGTAGGGAGATAACCAGGATACCAATTGTGCAAATTTATCTGGGGTTGATTAATACCTACCGGTAATCTTTTACAGCTACAGGTAGCCTGTGCCGAGCTTAACTACTACATTTGTGTTGCCCTCATCGCGCATGCCCTCGGATCCGTGCCATAACCGTAGTTTAGTACTATATAACCTAACAGTTGACCAGAACCCGACCTAACAAACCCCAGATCAACAGCATCGTTCGGTTGGCGTAGGATATACGGGTTACTTGCCATATTGAAAAAGCGAACCACTACATATGAGAACAGAAAATTCATCTCTGAATAGCCGGAAGTTCTGCTAAAAACCCCAATCAAGCAGTTGTCACTGCTTCATTTACTTTATGGAAATTCCAAAGAGCTTGAGCATAGGCTTCTGTAACATAAATGTGAGCAGTTTTTCAACAAGTTGGCCGGATGGTGTAGTTGGTTATCACGTATCGTTAACACCGATAAGGTCCTGGGATCGAGCCCCAGTCTGGTCATCTTTTTGCTTTTGGTTTTTTTATTTGCCCCACTTATAATATAACACCGGTCCACCTTTTACATCTTTCGGAAATCCAATGGATTAGTTTCATCTATGCGAGTACATTTTTGGAGATACTACTCGAAGGATATGCGGAGATCACGAAAGACAAATCTGTTATATTGCAAACACAACATTGAATAACTCACTCAGACAAGATACTCTGATGTTGCAAAACACGAGAAACCAAATGGGGCCGAAACAAGGCCCAATTTCCCTGTTATAAACTCACAAAGTATGCTGATACTGCGCCCCCCAAACGTTCTCACTATCCATTGGAAAGAACCTATTCCAAACATTTTGCAAATGCGACGGCTCCAGTGGATAGAGCTCACCCAAAAAGTGTTTGCCCCAATTTATCTTCTCTTTCTTATCCCCCTCATTATCACAGCCCTCTTGCCTGGCCCCGTCTTGGCCACAATGTTCAATCTTACTGACGATAGCCACGCACCATTCTTGCTCTAGGTACAACTTGAATGCACCGATATCCACGAGGTCCTCGGGCCTGGAAACGGCTTCCAGGGCTTCCCTTAGGAGTAGCTGATCGCTGGTATTTATCCAGCCAATCCCCAAGACCTTAGGGTCCGAAACACGAGCAATGACTCCCAAAGCATACATAACGCTTTGCACGATGCCGGACCGATTTTCGCGTTGGATGTCAGACTCTCTAAGACCTCCGGTGTCATCGGTCAATGAGGGATAGAAAAAACCATCTTCTTGCTCAATCAGGTAGTTGAACACGAGGATCCGAACGATCCGATTTACTGTCTCACTGGTTGTGAATGTCACATCGTTAAACTCGACTAGCTCCTTGTAGGCTTCTTTTGACGCTTCCATTTTGACGCGTGACTTGTTGGTAGATGAGGATGTGAGGTGATCTGAGTATAGGGTAGAGGTAGATGTGCACAAGGGAGGCAGGAGCCAACACAAGGAATGGGTCCATTGAGGGTTTTTATAATGCGGTGCAAGGGAGGGGAAGTCTGGGTTGATGTGAGCAAAAGCATGTGGTATAGGCAAATCGCGGGGGTGTGAAGGAAGTTGTCGCTATGAAGTGGTTTGCACTCAAGGTAGGATATCCATTCATTCTGGAGGGTCCCGTAAGTAGCCTCGCAACAAAGAACGAAAACAATGGACTGGAAGTGATTCAAACACTACCACCTTCCGAAGATGGGACTCCTGAGTAGGATGACTGGTTAGAATTCTAATAATGGAAAACCACTGATGTTATAACACACAGTGGAATTCCGACTCCGTACCAGATATTCACGTCATCTATCTCACCTGCTGATCTCTATACTTCAGCAAAAACAGTGACAATGCCAGTAAGAGATGAATATAGTTTGAACGTTAGACTGTCAGACATACTCAGTAGGACAATACCCAAATTTTATACGACTCGTATTGCCTCGTAGGTTGATCGCGATAATTTCAACCTAGATCAAGGTTGAATCCCAAACTTGGTACCGCGAGCGAGCTCCAAAGAAGCTTCCAAGGCGCCAAAAGTTATCTTAGAAAAGGGTGTCGGATATCAGATGCCCTGGAATGGGAGAGACCATCCTATAGAGTTGATCCCTGGAAGTGCAAAGCGTGTCACTGCAAGTACTCACATCATTCTCAAGCTTCTGAGAGCCATTTTACATGGGCTGGACAGCTGAAGGTCGGAGTAGTAATATCCGAAGACATCAATAGATGCAGCTCTGTTGTAGCGGAAGAAGATAGCACAGGAGCAGAGAACAAAGTGCGCCGTGAAAATTTTGGTTATACCGAAGAATGAAGGAGGACAGAAGAGGGTGTAAGTTGGGTCTGCAAGATGTGAACTAGCGTGGTTCTTCACATGACCTTGGAGTGAAGAGAGTCGTGGGATGGAATTTACCACTACATCTATTTAGAAATGATCCGGAAGTTCCAACAACCCCGCTGAATGTATCGCAGTATTGAAGATGGCAACTGCCAACCAACATTGCCTGGGTTTCCGGGGGAAACAAAGGATCTCGATAAAGGATCCCAACTTTCGAATACCAGCACGCCACATTCGCAGATAAGTGTGATAACGGCCCCATAGTACGGAGTATCCCATTCACGACACCCGCCACGTACGACCATGCATGCGAGATAGAACTATTGACTACCTAATGCACAAGCCAAATCCCTCATCCCGCTCGGCGGTAAATCCACAGGCCATGTGGAATCGAGGAAGGACCCGTGTGCTCCGACGCAAGGCCATCAATTTTCGTCACGTCCGTCGGCTAAGAGTCCCACACGGCGGGAGACATGCTCGTGAATCCTCCCATGACAGCAAGCACACATGGCACAATCCCGTCCAATCCAGCCCAGCGCCGTATCACACTTATCGACAGCCTTAGGCGGGGTAATGGAACTATGACCACGCCATTCTGGAAGCCCACCTCTCACAAATAGGAGGTTAGCGCTGTGCAGCTGCAGGAAATCAATAGTTCCTGCAAGGTCTTATCAGGTGGGGGCCAGCTGAGCGTGCACTGCACAAGTTGACATTTTATGGCGCGTCGGAGCGGAGTGTCCTGGTAATCGCACGGAGTGTTGGCTGATTAGTTTGGATCAGATTGTCGTGTCCAAAGGAGGGCGACTTCTGTAGCTGATGTTGGTTCAGGGGCACTCTTGGTATATCTCTGTTGGAAGAGGTGGTCCTGCCGTTGGACCGATAAGGCCATCACTGTCACAACCGTTGGTGAAAGTCCAGTTCAGCCTTGGGGTGGTATTGATGGGGTCCAAAGAGAAAGAAGTGATCCGGACTCTGGCTACTAGTGATATCAATCGACGCTAAAATAATTCAGTCCACCAGTCAGCTTCCAGTGTTTGGCGTGCTCTGTGCTCAACCTGCATAAGGGCCATGCACGAGCCCATCACACGGCACGCCCGGCGCTTAAGGTTATTTATATCGCCCGACCCATTGGGTGCCGCTCCCCCGGATCCAGGTTGGATGGCAATGACTGGCCCTCGTGCTTCACGGAGCCGGGGATTTACTATCCTTAGAATTCCCAAAATAGTCCAAAGAGGGGTTGCTGCAGCACTAATTTGTGGAGCGTTGGTTGAGGGATTTGGCGTCTCTATCGCCGGGCTTCCCTTCCCCTCCTTTAGTGTCCAACTGGGGACTGATGAAGATTTATTGCTCACGATCTCCCCAGTACAACAAAGCTCCTTTTCGTTTTCTCTCACGCACAATTTCCAGTAATTGGGGTTGAAGTGCTTTTGACTCTTACTTTTCTTCTCATTCTGGTCATCTCTATTGCAGTGATCGTCTTATACATACCAACATGGGTGTCATGCGTTTACCTCGCCCAACTGGCGTGTATGTGCCGAACTCACCCACACGGAGCCTCAAGGGCGATATGATTTCCTCCCCATTATCACCTGAATTCAACTTTGACTCTGAGACCTTGACTCCTTCCATTATTCCTGCCCTTGAATACGTTTCTTCCAAGCTGGAGCAGAGGATGATGCACGTTACTCTGCTTGTTGGTCGTGGGAAGCCCTACCCAACCGGCCAACCATCCGATCTCATCGTCATCCCCATCACCCCTCTGGATGAGACAGCATGGCGGATCGTGTTCCGCACGGTAGCCAAGGGAGCCAGCAAGTTCTCTTTAGGCCACAGCTGGACTGACGCCTTGAACCGCAGCCAGCACGAGCGCCAGGCCCACGACTACCTGATCCAACAATCGATTATGCAGAATGAAGTGATCTTCAGCAGAGAGGGTCTGACACTGCTGAACGTGGACCGCATCTACACCCTCAAGCGCCGGCTGTGCATCCTTTCCCATCGGGGAACCCATCCCGAAGAATCTTACATCTCATCCTGCGCGCAACTCCTCCACCGTACCATCAATGACTTCCATGGTCGTCCCTTCAGCAGGGCCTTCTTCCACCGCGTCTACGAGCAGCTGGATGTGCCTGATATGCTGTTATACCAGGTGGCGGATTCCTTCAGAAAGCAATACAAGCAGGAAGGGATTATTATCCCACCTCCAGCGAAGGCCGATGTTGCACCCCCCGCCAAGACCAATGTGCCACCCCGGGTGAAGGTGGAGCGTCCCCGGAAGTCACCACTACGTGCGATCCGGGCAGCTCGTCGCCAAAACCCTCCGCCAACAAGATACAACTTGCCCACCAAGCGCGGGCCCAAGACACCACTGTCTGCATCTGATGTGACTCCTATCACTCGGAACGAATGGAACATGCTCCGTACAGACTTTCCTTTGGGCAAGACCACTGTTACCAAGTGGACACCATCACCAACTGTTATGGCTGCTGCGTGAACAGCATCATTGATTGCTTGACACAATGTCGAGCAAATGCTATACCACCAACACCTCCAGCACCATCATGGCCATGGTCATGATCAGAGGGGCCTCCAAAACCGAGCCATCTGCGCATCGGAGCAGTCTGAAGAGTTATCCCGGGTCTACAGGGTAAGAACACCTGCACGTTTAGTATATTAATCCCGAACCCGAGCTAATCTCCCGTGCAGGACCGTTCTCGGACTGGCAGGAATACTCCACCGTTGAGCGGATTTCCGCCGACAGCCATGGCTGGTTGAGTGGAGCTATCCGAGCGATGTCGGCAAACCGGCCAACTAGGCGCAGGGACCACCGCCAGGCGGGTGGATTTCAAAGAGAAGAAACCATCCGCGAGCACGAAAATATTCGGAAGGTTGAATGCTCACCCGCAAACGGATCTATCGTCCCGACCTATCCTTTCGAAATGGATGATCAGGTGAATCGGACTTGGGATGAGAAGTTGGGCTCACAGGGATGAGACGTGTACAACAGACCTGCATGAAATGAAAGTACTATCTTCGCATGATTGAATTTCTAGTACGTAAAGTGAGGGGAAGTTGCAGTGTTGCACTGGGGGAGTAGACTAGAAGATGAAGTCGGGAGATGCAACTGCTGGTCGGCGTGCTCCGCCTTCAGATGCGGGCACGTCACGTGGGCAGTTGTTTCCAGAGCCGAGCAGACCAGAAGATTCAGACTTGCATCCATCATTGTGAGCACAGTCTCACAGAGATCATCCATATATTGATTTTATGCGGTTTGTTCGTTTCTTTTCGTCTTTGTATAATAGACATAGAAGAGTGTTTTGCTTCCAGCCTTCTCCAAAGTAAGACACCCCGGGCGTCCCCGGTACTACACCACCCGAGCAAGGAACTAACTGCTAGTGAACAACTCCAACAGGACCCTGTGGGACTGCAAGGAGCTCCACTGCAAGAACTCGCCAAATGGGCTTTGCATAAGTAATCCTTCTCCTCTGGTCCTCAGTTCGTCAAAACCGGATCCACTGCTTGGTTGGCATTGATAATTCGACCGTCTAAATTCTCTTATACTTTATCGCATGTGAGCTTTATCAGGTTTTCTTTTCCCCTCCCGCACCCCCCAAAAAGCCTTGACATTCCCCACGGCACGCTTTAACCCACGGACGACAAATCTTATCCAGATAAATCGTCCTGTTCAGCCACTCGATTCCATTCCAACTGCGTACAGCGGGAAGGGGTATCTCTCAGAAAAAAACCATATTAAAGCACTTGTCGCGGGAGTCCCTGTGGCTGTTATCTTTCTACCATGCGGGACTCGACCCCTCCTAGTCTCAACCCAAGCCATGTCTCGGAGGGAAATGGCCAAACTGATGTTGCACGTACCAAATGGAATATCAAAAAGTTCGTCAGGCAGGCTGAGCGATCGCATCGTCGGTTGCCGGGACTGAAGAAGGTTCCTTTGCCTGCCATCGCTATTATTCTGTTCATTGCGTTCATCAACGTTGTGGTGTGGATTGCCGCCGCCATTGTGTTGGTATGTATATCCCTTTCTTGCCCTCTCGACTGGAAATATTTGTAGGCCACGAGCTAACATAATTCTAGCGCTATTACCCGTATGTCACCCGAAAGCTATACTCACAGAGCTAGCATCATCTTACTAGGTCACTCCAGGTCCCTGGTGTCTAATGCCGTACTATCTTATACTCTCGGATTGAGACATGCATTTGATGCGGATCATATTTCGGTGATTACCCCATATCCACTTTAGAAATAAGACCTAACAAATACTGTGTAGGCCATCGATTTGATGACTAGAAGATTACTGGCAACGGGCCAAAAGCCCGTCACCGTAGGCACCTTCTTCTCTCTCGGCCATTCCACGTGAGTTCCTCCCTTTCAAGACACGCTTCTTCAAGCTAACAAACATCAGCATTGTTATCATCACCTCCATCGTAGTCGCAGCTACCGCTGCAGCTATCTCATCAAGATTTGACAGTTTCAGCACCATTGGCGGTATCATCGGCACTTCAGTCAGTGCCGCTTTCCTGATCCTACTGGGTCTCATGAATGCCTACATCTTGTTCAAATTATACAAGCAAATGCAAAAGGTCTTGGATCTACCCGAAGGCCAAGAAGATGAAGTGTGGAAGATTGAGGGCGGTGGTGTGCTATTCTCCGTGCTCAAGCGCATGTTCAAGCTCATTGACAGGTAAAGACTCCACTTCACCTATTGCCAAGTGAGAGTACTAACCTCGCTCAGACCTTGGAAAATGTATCCGCTTGGAATCTTGTTCGGCCTTGGCTTTGACACATCATCTGAAATCGCCCTTCTTGGCATCTCGTCTGTCGAAGCTGCCAAGGGCACTAACTTTTGGGTTATCCTGATCTTCCCGGTCCTATTCACAGGTAAGTTTCCAACACCCTCTTTCTAACCCATCAATTTTACTAACAACATACCAGCGGGAATGTGTCTCCTCGACACCACCGACGGAGCCCTAATGCTCTCCCTCTACGTCCAACCCTCCGCCAACTTCCTCCCCCCAAAGAGCGACACCTCTTCCGACGCGCCCCTCATGGGCGAAGACACCGAAGTCGAACCATCCAAGAACCACCGCGACCCAGTAGCATTCCTGTACTACTCCATCGTCCTAACCTGCCTAACAGTGATGGTCGCCATCGTCATCGGCGTGATCCAACTACTCACTCTGGTCCTGAACGTCGCTAACCCCACCGGCAAATTCTGGGATGGAGTCCAAGTAGCAGGAGACTACTATGACGCCATTGGCGGCGGTATCTGTGGACTCTTTATCATCATCGGCGGCCTCAGTGTGGTTGTTTACAAGCCCTGGAGGAGATGGATTGCCCGGAGACATGGAAAGACCTTTGTTACTGATGTCGAGGGATATCGGGATGAAGAACCGTCTGCTACTAATGCTCCTGATACGCCGATTCTGGATGAGGGGAGGGATGGGGCTGCTGCTGTTAATTATGGAGCTACGGGGAAGGGGGATGCGGCTGTTACGGTGGAGCCAGTTGGTGGGGGGCCTGCGCGGTGATGAGGGGGGTGTTGAGGGAAAGAATTTTGGGGTGTGGTGTTGGTGCTTGGGGAGGGTTGAGGGGGTAATGAGATATGAGTATGCGATTGACATGCATTTTACGATTATATACCGGTGGATCTATTATGCTCTATACTAGTATGATAGAGTTAAAAGTTATGCGTTTTTGATAGTAATTAATACAGATTTTGAAAATTGAACTACCTAGCCAAATCATGTCCTAGTTTAGGGATGACTACTACTGAATAATCATACCAATCCTCTTCACTGATTAATTTCTAAACTAGCTATATCTCAAGATCTAAAATCATAAACCTGTGATCCTTCATGTATAACTCGCAAACTCAATACACAACCATTAAAAGCCAAGCTTAGCCTCTTGCAATTCATACCATTGACACGTTATCTATCCTCCTTGGTCTAGCGGCATCCAAGGACCAATATTCAAGCTCTGAGCATGGAGAACAGCTCCAATAGCCACAACCCAGAAACATACACCACCACAGCTACAAAAACCCATCCCCGCCAGCCATAACCGGAAGTACTCGCATGCGCATTCGCATTCGACTCAGGGACATAACCAGTCACGCCATGAAACCTAAACCTCTATCGGCTGGAACGGTACCACGACGCCTCTGGGTCACCGAGGCAATCACCAACAGTGGTCACTACCAAATATTAGCGGCCCTATTCATCCATGTTTCCTCTCTTAGAAGAGGAATTGGGAAATGGGAAAATACCAGTCAAACCCCTCGACTTCGTTTCATCGAGCATCATCTTCGCCAAGGTAACCACCGTCTGTTCCTTAGTATCATGGGCCAAGCAAAGATTACCACCATTGTCGAGTTCAGTGACGAATTTGTCATAACTCTGACTGATCAGTTCAGGGCTGTTGTGGTTATAGTCCTTGGTGTCAATACTGGCTGTGATAACATGGTAGCCGAGATCCTTCATAACCTGGAGGGTCAAGTCGTTGACATCGAAGTAAGGGGGACGCATGTAGGTTGGAATTTCGCCCATGGAGCTTTGGAGCACGGACTCAAGACTGGTCATTTCTTGGACGATTTGATCGTAGCTTAGTGTGGGGAGGCTGGTGTGGTCGTAGCTGTATGATGTAGTTTTTAGTTTGTGTGGGGGGGAGGGGGTTAATGTGCTTGGGGTGCATACGTATGGGAGCCAACTTGATGTCCCTCCTGTCTTATGCGCTGGATTATCTGGGGGTTGGCCTGACTGGCTTCGCCGAGGACGAAAAAGGTAGCCCGGACTTTGTATTCGCTGAGAAGGTCGAGCAGTTGGGGGGTGTATGATGATGGGCCATCATCGAAGGTCAATGCAATGGTGTTGGGAGTGGTGCATGTGGTAATGACCTGCCCGAATGGAATGTCTCTGCTGGTGATAGGGGCACATAATGCGCTGGGGCTGATTGCTGCCAGAGCGATCAATGCGAGGGATTTGAACATGATGAATGATTTTTCAGTGATGGTAGGCAACATATAATGTAGCTATGGTGCTATTAAGTGCCAGATGTGCTCAGCAAGAGGGGCTGGGTTAGTTTATCGTCAATGGTACCCGGCCTACAAAGCAGACAAGAACTTGGATGATACCCACTGCTGACTCTCGCTTGCGACTCCGGTATATATCGTCCATGATGAAGGGCCTGAGCACTCTACTAAAGTATGATTTCGTTTCTATTGTTTTGATGACGATCCGCTCCTTCATAGGCCATATTGGAATGGGTGTATAACCAGTTGCTCAACCCGTCCCAAGGCGTAAGAAGCCCGAATACACACAGATCATTGTTTGTCTAGTCATAGGGCATCAAGGACAAACTTTAAAATGGATCTAGGGGTGTGAAAGTCAAGCGATGGGCTGGGTTCTCACGACAGATTGTTGCACTACCAACCGAAGGGTTATGTGTCACGACCCCTGACAAGAAGTAATTGAGGCTGAGCAGCTGGGAGTCCAGTTTTAAAGATGGCTAGGCACGACATGGTATGGTTACACGGATAGTCTACTCACTGGGAGTATAGAGGTTCTTGTAGAGTTAATCTATTGAGATTGTCAGATATTCTCGCATCAAAGTTACATGCCAATGCTTTGTACTCTTCACTTCACATACCACAGTGAACGTTTGTACAGCAATCAATCAAAGGAACCAAGCCAAGTCATTTATCAACTGAAGCCCAGGTATCCGACAATATAAACGAACCCCTGTAGCAAGCACTTCGGGGGTCTGTGCCTAGTTCAATTTCAAAACACAACTGAGTCCCGCCATCCTCGTCTGTTGATAGCATATCGCAGATTACCCTAGTATTCATGATCCGAACATGGAGAAAAGCTCCGAGGTCATGAGATCATATATGCCTAGAATATGCAGGTGAGTAGATTAGAAACTTATTCGGCATGTAGACATACAAACGACGCGAACGAAATGACCCAGGCTATCTGTGGCCCCTTAGAAACCGTGTGAGACAATTGTGCTGCTTCTCTTGGCATAAACCCGTGCAAGAGCTTATGCTCAAGACTGGTAATGCGTAAGTGTCTAAGAATGCATCTGAAAAGGCACAGAAAAGAGAATTGAGGTTCTTCCATTTGACTGTGATCAGATTTTTGAGTTGAGTGTGCATAGTGACTTCCCAATCGGGTAACCTTGAGATAGGGTCCAGTATAATGCCTCAGGCACCAATGGAAATACGAAGGAGACTGACGTCAGCCATCACGACGCAAGATTCGCTTTCCATTCTTCCTTTTGCTTTAGACAACGCGCACCAACCACGGCAAACATGATGATCTATCCTAATTGATAAGATCCTGGTACTCTCGTATTTGATTTCTACGACGACCGATCGGAGTGCCTACTTGGCTCGAAAGCCGTCGTTCTATGCCACTATCCAGCAACTAACTATCCAGCTGTCTTCGGCCACCAGACGCATCTAGCGCTGTCGCAAGTTAAACGCCCTGATGATTTCTCATAAGATCACCATTTCATATCTAGAGATCTATATATACGATATAATCTGGAAGTGACCTATACAGAAGCCTTGCATTGTGGCTTCTTACACTTCATTTATATATGAATCTCGTCGAACCCAACCACAATGAATATATAGCTTGGCCATGTCCGAAACTACAGCAAGCTCTCCTGCACAAGTTGATGATGCAGGGGAATCCGGTCCCAGTTTTCTAAACTGCCCGCCTATCTTTGTGCTCCCCACCCATCTCAGTCTGGAATCGCTTCACAGCATAGAAGAGGAGCTGGTTAAGCGAGAAGCACTTCTGACCTACGACATATCCGAAGCCAGACTGGTACTCGGGAGAATCGGACAAGGAAAGCGAGCAGCTTTAGAACTGCGATCTCGTGGAATATGGACCGAACCTATCAGTAAATCCGAGCCCCCAAAGAAGCGGCGTCGTGTCAATGCAGCCGAGTCGAAAATGGCTGCAGACCAGGCCGACATTATCGACCTCAGCACCGAGACAGAAGACGAAGAAGATGGGATGAAAAGTCGGCATGACCCCTCGCGGCATCTCCATCGGACGCAGACTGACTCCCCCGCCGCGGAGTCAATCGTTTCAAATCCGTCTGACGCGTCTTCCGTGTCATCCTCCGTTGCACAAGCAGACACCATCAGCGTCGTCAAACTAGACTGGCTAGACCAATGTCTCAAGGCGCAAGAGCTCCTTTCTACCGATCCATATACGATATACATCGCCCGACGGGCTCCACCGCCCGGAGAGCCCTCAAAGCCAGCCTCCCTAGGGAGCGATATCCTCCAACGAGCCAGGCAGGATGCTGCATTACGACCGCCACCAAAGCCACCGACCGTATACCACCATGCGCGTACTCACGATTCTACTCACAACCCGCCCAAACTATACCGAACCACCACCTCGGAGAACGAAGAAACCGAATCCCTCCCCCCAGCCCCAGACTGGGTGAAGGAGCACGTTCTCTACGCCTGCCTGCGCTCCACCCCCCTCCACCCTCCAAACGAAGGCTTCATCAACCAGCTTATCAAAATCCGACAAATCCGCGAATTAACACTCGACGAAATCGGCGTCCGCGCCTACAGCACCTCCATCGCAGCGATAGCAGCCTACCCGCACGGATTCCGCCGCCCCTCTGAGGTCCTCACCCTCCCAGGCTGCGACACCAAAATCGCCAACCTCTTCTACGAATACCAACAAAGCCCAACGGGCACCCTCTCAGCCGCCACCCTCCTAGACACCGACCCAACCCTCCAGATCCTCAACACCTTCTACAACATCTGGGGCGTCGGCGCCAAAACCGCGCGCGAATTCTACTACTACCGCCACTGGACAGACCTAGACGACATCATCGAACACGGCTGGAACAACCTGACCCGCGTCCAACAAATCGGCCTAAAATACTACGACGAGTTCCTAACCGGCATCCCTCGCCCCGAAGTCGAACAAATCGCCACAACAGTAACCCAACACGCCAACCTCGTCCGTCCAACCTCCTTCGACAACGAAGAAAAAGGCATCCAATGTATAATCGTAGGCGGCTACCGTCGCGGAAAACCCCTCTGCGGCGACGTCGACCTCATCCTCACCCACCCGGACGAATCCCTAACCAAAAACCTGGTCGTCGACGTAGTCGCCAGCCTCGAATCCTCCGGCTGGATCACCCACACCCTAGCCCTCCACTTAATGACCTCTAACCGCGACCAACAAACCCTCCCCTACCGAGCAAGTAATGCCGACGGCACGGGCAAGAACTTCGACACATTAGATAAAGCCCTCGTCGTATGGCAGGACCCCCGCTTCGACGACACTATGAACCAACCGGAAACAGAAACTCCTCAAGAAGAAGAGCACTACGCAAAGAGTAAACGAAATCCAAACCCCCACCGCAGAGTAGACATTATCATCTCCCCCTGGCGAACAGTCGGGTGTGCCGTGCTCGGCTGGTCAGGCGATAAGACCTTCGAAAGGGATCTACGACGGTATGTGAAGAAGGCGCATGGGTGGAAATTTGATTCCAGTGGGGTTAGGGAGAGGACTTCGGGCGGACAGGTTATTGATCTTGAGGCTGATGGGGAGACGTGGGAGGAGAGGGAGAGCTTGGTTATGGAGGGGTTGGGGGTGGGTTGGAGGGTGCCCGAGGAGAGGTGTACACGATGACTTTCTTTCCTTTCTTGTCTCGGCTTTGTTGGTGGTGGCGGTTTGTTCTGTACTGTATATTTTGGCTATCGCCTTTTCTGGAACCTGGATTAAATTCATTGGTAGTCATATCTGGAATGATTGTTGTGGACTGTGTGTTTTGGATGTACGGTTGAAAACACCATTGTTTTGAATCATGGGTTCTTTCATTACGTAGTAGTAGAACATATCTGCATACTGATAGAACGCTAGGAAGTAGGAAGGATAGAAAAAGCCACGTATATAACCGCCAGTATTGATTCAGGTTGTCTCATTGATGTAGTTGGTTAGGTAGATAGGTAGGTAGGGAATATAGAGGGAGAGAAGAGGGGAAGGACACAAAACGGACCAAGCCACATTTATCCATTCCAAGAGGAAACAGGAGACTTCATTTCATCGCCAGAAAATGCAACTAATACAAGGATGGAGACTCATGCAATGAGACGAGACGGGAACACTTCGAAGAATTACAGAGAAGCGAAAGATAAAGAAAAGAAGAGAAAAGAAAAAGGAGAATACAAAAGACACACACAGACACACATATAAAAAGAAAAAGAAGCTTCCATCGATCAATCAATCAATCAGGTAAAGTCAATCAAGTCATTCATTACACCAGAGCCCTGGAGCTAGTCATTTCACCGTAGCGTCCTCTGCCCCGGGTAGTATCGTAAGCATTCACCACTCTCATCTGTCCACCTTCGTCGGCCTGACTGAATGCGTAGCCGCGCTGTTTCCGCATACGTTGGACTTGACGGACTTTGCGGATCGCCTTCTGGAATTGTTCCATGCGGGGGCGGTAGTCCTGGACGTTGTATTTCTGGATTTCTTGCACATGGTGGTAGTGTTGCGGGTAGTACATGCGCTTGGCGTATTTCCAGGCGTAGTCGCGGAGTAGGCAGATGCAGGGGAGGATGACGGCCATTAGGTAGAAGACGGGGTCTTTGAAGAGACGGGGGATCGTGCCGTAGTATTCTTGGGAGAAGCCGATGGCTGGGGCTGCGTAACCGTAGGCTGGGAGGAAGATGAGCCAGAGTAGCATCGAGCCTGGGATGGCGATGAACGTGTATTTGGTCCAGATGTTGGTGATCAAGGCGGCTTTGCCTAGCACTGTTGCTAGTGCTGCGGTGTAGGTTGCTTCAGCCCACACCCAGTGGCCGGAAGTTTTACCGTCTCCTGTGGGTCCGTCCCAGAGGAAGAATAGTTCTGAGACGACGTACAGCAGGAGGGAATGGTAGAAGCCGTTTAGAACCCATGACCAGAAACTGTGTCTCCTGAAGAACATGCCCTTCTGTCCGAGTTGGTACAGTTGAGGATAGCGGTCCAACAGTCGAGCGGAGATGTATTGGTCACAGATACCCATTGCGAATGGAGGGAGCACGGTGAAGAACACGTTGTAGAAAGATAGAGTCCAAGATTCGTAGATAACCTCACCCGAGAAAGCGTTTTGGAAGGAATACTAGGGATTGTCAGTAACAGTATAGATTGGCGGACAGTGTCGCTCATAGAAGCAAACTTACCCAGAATTGCGTCATGTAGAGAGCAATGTTCTTATAGAACGAGTACAGAATGACACGACTTATGCGGTGGTAGTTCCAGGCACCATGGACCAGCAGAAGCTTGCGAAGATACCGGAACTGTGCAATAGCAACATCCGCAGACCGAGCAGCTTGTAGACCTTCGACACCACTGATACCAACACCAACGTGTGCGGCTTGAATCATGGACACGTCGTTCGCGCCATCTCCAATGGCAAGAAGCAGAGACTTCAGGTGGCGTTTGACAAGCTTAACGACGAGTGCCTTTTGAAGGGGAGAAACACGGCTATCAAACATTAGCTCAGTCCCGCCTACGGAAGCGAGGTTAACTTACCAGCAGACCACAGCTTTACACATGACAGCCAGGTCCAGGAACAGCTTCTCCATATCCTTTTCAAGGGCAAACGTCAATGATCGACCATCAATGATCAGAGCTAGCGCTTCGATTTCACCAGAGGTCCCCTGGCTTTGAACAGCCTGGAGCTTCTTGGTCAAATTATCTCGAGTTGCTTCTGCACTCTCCTCATTGATAATCAACAACGTCATGTCCTCAGAAATGAGCTTGCACGACATTCCAATGTTGATGGCGGTTTCTTGTCGGTCACCAGTCAAGACCCAGATTTTGATACCTGCCGTCTGGAGGGTGTGAATAGTGTCTGGAACTCCATCTTGCAGACGATCTTCGATGGCGGTAGCGCCCAGAAGGTAAAAGTCCTTCTCGATCAGCTCCGCAGCCTTATCGAGTTCGTCGGCACGGTTTCCGCCAACCGTTGTCGCAGCCTTGTCGTAAATCTGGTACCACTGCTGGAATTCGTCTTCGGGAACTTCACGCATAGCCAAGCAAAGAGTCCGAAGACCATCCGATGCATAGTCCTCCAGATGCTGCAAAGTCGCTTCAACCATTGGGTTGTCGGGGTGCAGGCGTTCAAGGATGACAGTATCCGCACCCTTAGTATAGATGCGGATTTTTCCATCAGGGCAGCGAAAGATTGTCGACATGCGCTTTCTCGTAGAGTTGAATTCGCAGACCGCCAATAGTTCATATTCGTAATCCTGGTTGTCAAGGGTGAAAATCACTGACCGGGGCTTACGATTGGAGAAGGCATAGCCTAGGGTTGCAGCACCTTCGACAAGTGCACCTTCATCAGGAGATGCGGCTTGATATTTGATCTTCCCTGGCTCTTTCTCAGATCTCTCCGGAATGACCGTGTGACAAGTAGCGAGCAGAGTGAGGAAATGATGTATAGCATCTTTCGAAGGGTGAGAGCGCAGGTTCTCCCTCAACTTCTTGAAACTATGGACTCCGACCTCCATTCCGTCCTCGACGGTGGCTTGCCGGTCCTCGGGAATGTCGTCACCGTACTGGATGCCCGCGATCGTGCATTGCTTGAACTCCATCATGTTGCAAGTAAGTGTACCAGTTTTATCGGAGAAGATGTACTCTATCTGGCCCAATTCTTCAACCAAAGAGGATGTCCTGCACGTTGCCGGTGTATCTGTCTTATCGTAATAGATATCAAGATCGGAGTTGATCAAGAAGGCTTGAGCATACTTGACGATTTCAATCGTCACGAAAAGCGAGATAGGGACAAGGTTTGAATAGAGAACCCAATAGGTAAAGATATCAAGAACGAATTGTTTGACCGGATTGGTAGAGCCATAATCCAGATACGTGAGTTTACTTGCCTCAGTTTGGCGAACAATTAAATCACCAACGGAACTGATGACACTGAGTGAAACCAGAATGCCAACCAACATGAGAATTTGAACATTCACCATGCGTTCCACTGCAGTTCGCTTGATCGGAGTTGCTGTCGCGTTCCGCATCAGCTTCGATTCGTGACCCGTGAAAACGACAATGCCATGGACCCACGGAGTGTTCCTGAGGGTGGCGCCTCGAAGGAGAAGCTGGTCCGGCGCCAATGGCAATTCCTTTTCACCTCCACCGGCGTGCATTGTCAAAGTTGCTTCGTAAGTGTACAGACTGCTGTTTGGCTGCTCAGACCGAACCCGTCCACTTAAGCGACTGAGATCCGCGGGGCTGACCAAATGCGCGGTTTCCGGAATTGCCTGCTTAATCTTCAAGTTCGTTTCCCCGTCCAGATTAGCGGTCTCGATATAACACAGGCCCTCCGGTTCGGATGACGCCAGTAGAACCAAATCAGCCGGGAATGGTTGTTCGGACTCGACCCGGACAATATCTCCCACAGCCACATCGATCCACTTGGTCTCATGGAACTGTGACCCCTTCAGAACCTGCGTTTTCGAATTGTTCAATCCTTTGTCAGACATCCTGCGCTTGTAGTCCTCAACTAATTCCTTGATGGCCGATACCGCTAACACAATACACAGCGGGGCAATCGTAGTATATCTGTTCGTCGGAGACACGTTCGGAATCTGCTGGAGAACGGCGGTGAAGAGGAAGAAAAGGTTGGCGTATTTCGAGAATTGTTCGTAGAGGAACTTCGGGATAAAGGTAATGACATTGTACTTGGCCGTTGAAACGTGGTTGTCGACGTATTTGTGCGTAGCATTGGCAGGCGGATTGTTCAGAACGATCATGCGAGGACCCAGCGTAGACGGGTCGACCTTTCTGCGGCCAAATCCAAACTTGAAATCCGACTTCTTCTTTGCTTTGGGAGCCCTGGCCGCGCCGCCTTCGTCCGGATCTGCACTGTCCACCCGCGCAGCTCTGGCTCCAGATTCCGTCAGGGGCAGATCCATCTCCGAGTACTCAGCACCCATGCCCAGCATGTGCTTCGCTCGGCCCATCAACCCGCCTCCCAGACCCAGTATGCTGTTCCTTTCCTTTGCCTGCCGAACGCGGCTATCGGGTTGTAAATGGTTATCATCTTGGTAGTCCAGATCGTAGTATCCGTGCATCGACCGGTCATCGTCGAACTCGTCGAGGGAGTAGCGGTGGTAGTTGCTTAACCCGGAGGTTTGCGAGTAGGTGCGGGACATGTCGGCACCGGAGTAAGGATCGGTCATGTATACCCCCGCTTGGGTCGGGGGATGCGCGGGCATTGCATGAGCACCGGACTGCGGCGGCACCTGTCCGCCGACGAAGTGGTCGTAGGAAACTGAGGGACGCGGGTGAGGAGTTTCGGAGTCGTCAATGTCGTACTGTCGCAACAAGTGGTCATCGTTGACCGGTGGGCGTTGTCCCGAATTGTACATGGGAGCCGACTCATCCAGCAGCAGTTCATCATTGTGGCCAGCGGCTGGATGAGGGCCGGGGGGCCTACCGCTGGCCATGACGCTGGGGGCGGACAAACAGATGCCCCTGGAGCATTGATTGGCCGGGACGAGACGGGAGAGAGGATCACCGAAGACAGTGGACTTGCAACGCGGTCGGAGCACGAGGAGGTATCAAGCGAAATACTCGAGAGTCGATAGTAAGCGACGAGGAAGGTGCGAAAGTTGGGGATGGGGGGGTGGTGAGGAGAAATTCTGACTGCCTGGAGGTTAAGCCAGATGCCGCGCAAAGGCGTCGAGGCTAATCAGAGTTAGCGTTGGATCACCGCCAGTGGCTGGGCCGACACGATTCTTTGTCTTGTCCGATCCATACCCCGTTAAGACAGGGTGGGTTTGCCCGCGCCAGAATGGAATGAGAGCTAGCTGATGCCCACCCTCTGAAACAGTTTCAGATTAATATAGCGAGATCAACCAAAAGAGCCGTCCATGTCCACCATTGGAAAAGAGAGCTTCCTCTCGGCAGTTGGTTGTTGTTCAGTTCCATTCAAGAGAAATGGCCTGCTTGTCACGGGGCTGCCAGTTCGGGTTAGTAATTCCGAATTGGGAATGGTGGCATGGGGTATTATCGTAATACCGTTACATCGTTATGACACCTGAGGCGTCTAATGGTCTCCATCTACAAAATCAAGTGCTTGATTGCATGGATTTCTAATAAGGAGATATCCTTGCTACTATGCACAAATGCAGAGAATCTGACATTCATGTCACATGTTCTCGTGGCTTGGCTCATCTGCAAGTCAGTTTAGCAACTCGCAAGTACCCACAACCTGAGCATCCAAAGCTGCGCCACGATCCCGGTAAGCAGCGCATGCCTATTATTAGACTAGATGTTCTTTTTGGTCTCAAACGTGATCATCACCATGGTTCCTCCATACTTGTTACGGATGAACAATCATATAGTGCTATTCAGCCTCATGCTTAGCATTCCATGGTAGTTCTCTATCTGGTTACAATGTCATCATATGTACCTTATCATGAGCCCATGGATATGAGTTAGACACGCAACTAGGAGGGAATGACTACCTACCAGCTTTTGCTTCTACTAAATCTTTCCATTCGTATCTACATTCCACAGGATATGGCTAATACCAAAGAATCTACTTCAGTTACTTCTCAAACGGAAAACGCAAGTATGGCCGCCCAGAAAATCTGCATCCCTGAACTTTTGGAGATGATTCTTCTACAGCTGGATATGCGCACTTTGCTTGTATCTGCTCAAAGAGTCTGTCGTGCATGGCACACCCTCATCAAAGACTCCAGCTCTCTCCAGACCTTATTGTTCTTCAAACCAGCGACCGATCCGTTCCCGACCGAGCTAAGGGCAAGGGAATTGGTCGAGGATAACCCACTGCTGTCCTATATATGGCACGAATTCTGGCGAAAGAGAGTGTCCACTTCGTCTGTTAATCTCAATTTACCTCAACTTGATCCACAGAGACAGAATGTGTTCCTCCGAGAAGAAGCAAGCTGGAGACAAATGCTACTCCGGCAGCCGCCAGTTTCGTTAATGGCAGTTGTTGAGAAGACTTACAGGGCTCCACGAGGCTCAGCGTTTTGGTTCAAGGAGGAAGACAAATTTACGAGGCTGGGGTATCTATACTCGGAGATCTCGAGGCTATCCCTAATTCCTGGGCGAGATCTTCGCTCGTTTTATGAGTGCGACCTCATTGATCAGTACGAAAAAAGATTGGGGTATGTGCGTGCACGCGTAACTTCCTGTCATCTGCCAACCTGCGCATTTGTGATATATTGTCATGAAATACAGGGAGTAACTGGAGAGCCTTATTGTCGCGGGCCTTTAAATAGTGACCTAGAGCTATGGCTAGGAAACGAGCTTGGAGCTTATATTGCCTAGAGCATCCGCCGCCATGAGTTTATCTGTAATGAGTATAGCCTATAGCTGCTTGGATGTGGGAAGATTGTGCGTATTGCTATATAAGGCATGCTAATTTGCTAAATAACCCAATAAGACACGGATGCCACGACAATTTGATAATTACATCTAACGACGTTGGAATGCAAGCTGTAAAGGAGGCAGACACGTAGTAAAAGTATCCAGTGCTCCCGTTTCAAAAGCCTCTCCCGTCTCGCCAGGCGCAAACGAAAAGTTGTACTGCTGGGCTATGGTCGATATGCTGGTCCGCAGACTAATCATGGCCAGGTTCTTCCCGGGACAGATATAAGGGCCTGCTTCAAATGTCAATCTGGGTAAACCACAAGGGAAACCATCGCTCACCTGTCAGGAAAGGAATGAAGGGGGCACCGTCAGTCTTCATCTCGTGTCTCTTCTCACTCCATCGCTCTGGAATGAATTCCTTAGCCTCCTCGTAGTACCTTTCGTCAGTCTGAATTAGCTGAACAGGCACGAAAACGATGGTGTCTCCTGGAATGTGAACTTCATCCACCTGAATTCCTTCGGCTGGCGTGACACGATACCCCCCTGTCATTACGGCAGGACGCAGGCGAAGAGTTTCATTGATAATGTCGTCAATGAACGAGATATCCTTGACCTTATCATAACTCCAGTCATCTGCTCCGTCTGGCATAGCCTCGTCCAGTTTTCGCTGGAGCTTGGCCAGCACAGATTGATGCTTAGCCAGATAATAAAGGACAGTTGCCAAGGTGGTGGCTGTGGTCTCACTTCCCGCAATAATGACTGCCCGTGAGTCCTCATTCAGTGCCAGGCGAGAAGGAGCAGCAGATGCACTTTTCTCCACGTATGCTTTGAGAAGCCATGAAACGACATCTTCCGGATAGGAGTTTGCATCCCAAGTCTGTAGGATAGCATTATACAACACAATCATTAGATCTCGCCATTGGGTTTTCACGATGAGAATTGCATACCTTCTGCTTCCTTTCAATTTCATCAGCACACCACTTGAAAAATCTTCTGTAGCTAGAAACGGCACCAGGGATACGGCAGAGTATGTAGAGGAACCACGGGACCTGCAATAGAGTAGCACCGGCGGCCATATGGTCATGAACTCCTCTGATCGCTGGATGTTCCACACCGGTGGTCAGGTTATGGAAATCTTTACCAAACCCGACGTCTCCCATTATATCAAAGCTAAGAAACATTGTCCAAGCCGTCACATCGATAGGTTGGCCCAGGTTCTTTGCTACATGGGCGGCAAGTAGATCAGCCTTGCTTTTGACCCGGGGCTCATATATTCCGAGAGCTGAACGAGATGATGGGATCAGTCATTGGGTTAATGGAGATGACAGAGAGAGCTTTATCAAGCTAACATGCATTTTACGTTACAGCCCCGGTCCCACGCCTTTCTCCGCATTCTGTGGTCATCATGATCACGAGTGTGGTGCACAGAGCAGTACTTGGGGTTTGTTGAGATATGGGCATACCATGGTGACTTGCTGCATTTGGACTGTGGCCCAAAGAGCAAAGGTATGGCGGACTTTCGCACAATGCAGACCTCACGTGGACCTATAAACGCGGAATACATTACAACCTGGACGAGAAGATGGATAAGTAATTAGCATAGGATTACCGGTTCGAACAAAGTCGCCATATTCGTGATGAAGTCTTGCGATCTCCACATTGTATTGGAGATCTTTGCCTGCCAAGTAGGCATTATAGAAGCGGGATAACTTGGCACCCACTGGACCTGGAAAGTGATGCAGGCGATGGAAGAATAATCGATAGATGCCAATACTGGAGATAAGACCCGTGTTGAACGCGGATGCGATGAGTACCACTCTAAGAAGAGCCTGAGCGACCGAGAATTGCGTCAAGGCTATGTACGCATATGCTGTCGATAGCACGACGACCGCATAGATTGGAAATAGTACGAAGAGATAGTCTTCGACCGGGAAACTGGTGCGAAAGAGACTGACGTGCGAGAGCAGCCCAAACCCCGCGGCAGAAGCAGCGAGACTGAGCAGATCCGATTCCAACACAGCCCGCATGTCTGCCAACGAGACAATAGATGGAGAGAGTTGCATTGTGCTCATAACCTATTTCTAAATGTTAAAGTGCATGGAGATGTTTCAGATGACATTGAAACAGGGTGGGGCATCTGTTAATAAGTGTAGAGGGTAATAAATAAACGTAGAGTGAGCCGTGGGTGCGGACATGCTGGCATGTCTGTTTGCAGCCGATGCTCTGTCATCTGATCGACAAAACTAATGGTTAGGCCCCCAACGCTGTGTTAACTAGCATAAATCCATGCTAATGCTTCGTCCATTCTGTATTGCAGTGATAGAGCTAGTAACTCAAGTCCAGCAATAATATGATCGTACGTAGCCACGCTAGCTGATTGCATGACGCAATACAATATAGTCGTTGATAGCCACGATAAGCATTTGTCTATTCCTAGCATATTAGTACTTGGTATTCTGTATCTCTTTGATTCAGAAAATAATAGAAACTAAACATCTAACGACTGGACCTGACACTACAAATTAGTTATAGCATACTTTGTAGATGCAAACTTCCATTATAATTAACATCATTGTACAAAGCCACATGACCAGATCATGAACCCTATATGCGCCAAAATAGTATGAATAGATGCTAATACACTCCTCCACTTTTTGGCACCCAATTATATTGCTGATATATAAGGTTGAGCTTTATACCAATGTCCAAATGTCTTCTATCCCGTCATCACAATATCATATTCTTCGGGGAGACCGATGCGCATGCAACGGGCTATAAGAGAAACGAGGGTGGTTCAAGCATTTCTTCCCCTCTCCAGGAAGATTTCTTTCTGATCATTAGCGCTGAGACTTTTTCTTCCATAGCCCTTACTGCGCATGCAGACGCCTTAATCTGATTTGGCCGATTGTCAGCCATGGTAGTCAAGATATAACATTGCATGATTCAAAAAGATTGCTTCTTCGAAACCCATCCATATAGGATATATTTATGTAAAGTCTGATCAATCATCGCTGCATTGTTTCGTTTCGCGTATGGTAAGGCTGCAGGTCTTATTGCAGCTTCTTTGAACCAGGAATGAGAAGTCCGCGATGTAAGCGTTCTTTTATCTCTGTGTAATATGACAGTTACCGCCAGTTGTCTCTTGATCCCCTCAAGTTGCTCCGATGACAGTTCTTGAACTGTAAGTTCTCCACAACCCCCCGACACAGATTCTTCATAATGTGGGCCAGAAGGGATACTATAGTATCTCGAGCACTTTTACCTCCCTCCTGGAAGTAACATTGTGTCAATCACTTAAAAAAATCAGCAAGATTTTTTCGTAGATATCAACGTTGAATATTTCTTTCCCACGCGTACCCTGATAGCACATACACACAAACGTGTGCTTATAATTGTCTGTAAGGATACCATGCACAGTACTGTTCATCCCCATATCGCTCGGCCTCTGGCCACAAATCTTATTGGACTCTCTCTTGGAGTTCATATGTTAGAATCAATAAAGGCGACAATGCCTCTCAGGGTTCGCCCGTTTCCACGAGGAGTGTCGAAGTTCCGATAGTTTCTTCCACATTGTAGAAACATACGCTGGGCGTCCCTCAGTATGCTTCCAGATCAAAAGAGACCACTGTAAAGGTGGACAACACGGTATCAATTCTGCATTTTATTGTAGGTTCATTCTTGGATGTCTGAATTAACACATTGCTAGTACTGTATGCATTAGCATCCCATGGGCTTCCTTTGCCGCATGATTAGAGATGCCTGTAGTATGCAGTAGCTGGCTACAATTCTCCAGTACAGCAATGTTAATAGATATAAACTATACTCGGTAGAACCGGAAAGAGAGGGAGGAAGTAGAATTTATATTGAGATAACCAGTGTTCACGCAGTGGAGGGTAGAAGTGCATAGCGTATTGAGCTCTACGTATCTTCACTTTGCCAGATGTTTATACAGTTGGATCAAGTAATGCCCAGATAGTCAATTAATTCTGCTACGGTCGTCCGAAGATTGCTCGAAATGATGTATCATATTGAATAAGTCATTCCATTGAATGTAGATGCTGTAAAACCACGAATATAGAGAGGCTTGATGGTCGGAAAGAAAATTGTTATATCTGTACTAGGATTAACGCGTGCACAAAGAGTGGCTCCCTGCAGGCGCCTTGAGAACCGTTAGATAGGAGATATCACCCCATCTTCAAAGCCTCTACTCCAAAGTTCTAGACCACAGGCCTACTCCAAGCCGTTATCCCCAATTTTTCTTAGTCCCTCAACTTGCCGACGCTATCTGGATTTAATTTCAGCAGCGTGTCTTGGCGCTGGACTAAATCATAAATTATGGGTTGATTGTTTCAGATTCATATGAAGAAAAGCTTGGGTATTTAGGCTTGTCTGCACGGACCTTCCTCAGTTCTTGAGTCCACCCGGCGTTGTGTGGATCAAAGAAGGTAGACATAAATAGGCAGGTGAGCAAATTCATACACAAATTTTCTTTAATTATCAAAACTATGTAGCCTAAGTACTTAGTATGTCTGTATATAAAACCTTTCTAGCCTTTTATAAAGGCAAATCAGCCAAATTTCACTCTCCTACCCACAGTGACTCAGAGACCACACAGCATTGCGAGGAATGTGAGACCCTGCTCGTCTAGAGTGAAGCCGTACATGTCTCTATAGAGAAACGAGAACTACTCGAAAAAATGAGTGGTAGATAGCAAATGTAAGACCAGTAGAGAAGGTGGAGAAATAGGATAGCGGGATCAGGATTGTAGAAGGCAATTGCCCTTGTGCTCATTTCAGACTGACGGATCCCCATTCTTTCGACAGCTAATCCAGCAACCAGTGAACCGAGTGCCCCAATATACTGTTAATATAGTAGGAGTGAGTACTTGCAGAAATTGAACGTACCGAATCGAGAGCTGCACCCCCGCCCCATGGGGCAATTGCAGCGTGCCTGCCGCATTGGGTATCGGATTGGCGTCTCTTTTCTTTTCTTCTACATGTATTTAAAGCATCTATTAGCATCGATCAAGCAACAACAAATTGAACTACATTCTGCTTTGTTTTCGTCTTCTTCCTCTTCGTTCTATAGAGTTAGAACCCATTTGCTCCAGTACGGAGCAGCAATTACGCGGGGCATTGACCAAAAATAGAATCACAAAAGATGTCCACATGATGGAGCTCTAAAACCTGCAAGAGCATGATGGTGGAAATGAAGAAACACAGGAGCAGATGAGAGGTGGACGTCTTCAATCCTTCTTATATACACTGGTAGCTAGGTGGTTGCATAGATACTCTGTGTGCTTGACAGATGATATGGAGACCGCGCAAAGCTAGCTGGAAGAGGTTAGCGTTTCGCGGTAATCAACGGTATGACATTACTAGCGTATGTTGAATATCCAATCAACGCTTGTTTCTTATTGATGGTTTGTATGTTTTGCTTCTCTGGATACAGTGACTCTTTACCTAAGGGGCATGCATGAGTGTAATTGGGTTCTGGGATTATGCCGGGGTACAATGATTGCCAGCGTGTATGGGGAATACAGTGAATGCAAGTTGATGACTATCTGTTAGTTCCAAATAACGTAACTTCCGGCCGCGCCGGCCACCCGCCCGCACCGGCCACCCAGTATACCGCCCAACACGTTTCTACATGCAACCACTCTTTCTATCAAAGGCAGTGAATTAGCAATGAGTAATACAATGATTCTAGGGCGGTGTACTAGGGGTGGCCGGCGCGGCCGGGAGTTACGTTAGATCGTTACATTAGAATCCACAGCATCATACCATCGAAAGACAAGCTAAACGTGGTCGTCTTACGTGAGATTATAGTCTGACAGCTAACTACTTGTAATTCCGCCAACTTGCCCCCAGGAATTGCTTCCTTGCCAAGAGCTAGTAGATTCAAGAAAATACCAGCAGAATGTCCTCGGTAGGCCTCACCTCGTCGCTCGAGGATTTCCTCGCACAAACCTTCGACTACCTCATCATCGGTGGTGGGACTGCTGGTTTGGTTGTCGCATCACGGTTGTCTGCAAACCCCGATGTGAGAGTAGGCGTCATTGAGGCAGGAGATGCAGGGTTTGATGATCCAAATATCACCAATCCGGGAAAGGTTTCGGCCATGCTACATAATCCCAAGTATGACTGGATTTACCAAAGCACGCCGCAGGTAGGTCATTCCAACTTCTTACGCTTCAGAGCAATCTAAAGGGTCCCTAGGCACACAACCAAGACCGATCCCATCACATACCCCGAGGTAAAGTGCTCGGAGGATCGAGCGCCATTAACTTCATGGCATATGGGAGACCTTCCGCGGCCGATCTCGATGACTGGGGCACCATAGCGGGAAATAGCGAATGGTCATGGGCAGGACTAGCTCCGTATTATCGAAAGAGCGAACAGCTCGAGGCGGCTGGATTGACCGGCACTGCATCGGAACTCTGTCCCGTGCAGGACGAGGCTCATGGCACGCAAGGCCCGATTCACACTTCGCTAGGCCCCTGGCAGGCCCCTATTGAGACACCGCTGCTAGCCGCAATGGACGAAACGTTGGGACTGTCTCGGCCACAGGAGCCATGGAATGGAGAGCACTTGGGCTTCCATCGCTGCCTCTTTACTATTGATCGAAGCGCTGGCCTTCCACATCGCAGTTACGCGGCCAATGGGTATCTATGGCCAGTGCTGAGTAGACCAAATCTCCACGTCCTGACCAATGCGGCAGTCACCAGGATACTTCTTGATGACGAGCAGTGTGCTCGTGGGATTGAATTTGTTCATGAGGGGAAAAACTATCAGGTCAGCGTCGCACGCGAGGTTATTCTATCAGCCGGTACTTTCGAAAGTCCCAAGCTGCTGGAGCTGTCAGGTATCGGAGACCCTGGACATCTCGCCTCTCTGGGCGTTCCATGCCGGGTTCCTCTTCCAGGTGTCGGGACAAATCTCCAAGAACATCCCGTGTCCGCGGTGGTGTACGAATTAGCAGACGGAGTTCTGTCCATAGATTCCATCCTTCGTGACGAAAGCTTGCTAAAGCAGCATCTGCGACTGCTGCAGGAAGAGCAGTCCGGGGCACTTTCCGGCCCGGTCAGCCTGATGGGGTTCATTCCTTACGGACGCCAGGTCTCAGCTGAGCGGCTCAACGAAACCATCCTCAACGTGCTGCAGCATCATAGTAATGATGCCACCGACAATGCCGAACTAGTGACAATCCAGCACCGACAGCGCCAACGCATTGCCGCGCATTTATTGGGCCCCCGGTCAGCGGATATCCAACTGGTGGGATTCCCATCAGCATTTGCTATCGATCGAGTGTATGCCGATTGCAGCAAACTTAGCCCCGGCCCTCCCCCAGGCCGGAACGCATGCTACTCGCTTATGGTCAGCTCCATGTATCCTGTCTCCCAGGGAAGCTCCCACGCGCAGTCTCGGGACCCAGCGGCCGCACCAAGAGTGGACCTTGGATTCCTGAAGAATCCCGCCGATGTGGACGTCCTTGCGACGGCTGTCACGGTCGCGGATAACATCTTCCAATCTCCCCGCATGAATGGGCAGGTCTTGGCCCGGGTGCAGCCGCCACCTGAGGTCAATTTGCAGGATGTAGAGCAGGCGCGAGAATATGTCCGGGATCGGCTGATGAGCTATCATCATGCACTTGGGACATGTGCTTTGGGGTCAGTAGTAGATGAGAAATTACGTGTCAAGGGTACTCGGGGTCTGCGCGTGGTCGATGCAAGTATTATGCCGGCCCAGGTCAGTCATGCTGTGCTCGGCACGGTATATGCGATTGCGGAGAAGGCTGTTGACCTGATCGAAAGCACTTACTCTCAATCAAACGGGGTGTAAGCGAGCTTTTGTACCATAATAGATATCTATTCTCTTTTGGAAGAGAATTCGAGAAGGGGGTTTGAAATCAACTAGTGAGATAAAAATACTACACGGCTGCAATAATTGTCAATGATTATGCTATGAAGTGCGCAATATTTATAGATTTTGCCATCCATACCTATCTGCGGCAATAGGCCTCGTTATATTTATGCCTTGTATTCTGCCAAACTCAGAGTATCGTCCGGTATCTGCGGATCTTCCCAGCATCCATTTCTTCTGCGGATTAAAAAGTCTGACATCTTGCTTATCTTCATGGCCTGCATTGATCCAATCTGGTAGAGGCCAGTCAGTGAAGAATGTCTCTGTCCACGACTGACCTTGTGTATTGCTCATCCTCGATCAAGAAACTGGTTAGCTAGCTTGATGATCACCTGAAAATTGCAATCAGCCAAATTTTTAGATTGTGTATATCCACTTCAACAAGGGTCCCTTGAAGATGTCTTTGTAAGTTTTCAATCCCCTAAAGTAGGATTAAAATGATGATACATTGAAGAACGAGAGTCAGGAATGTGAGATGGGGTGCGAGTCAATCTTATATTGTAGATATAAGCATGTTACTGCCAAGAATGTGATTTCATGTAGGAGAAGGGTGCCTGCAGCTGCCTATATCATTAGGCAACAGCTTGACCCCTTGCATAGCTTACCAAAGATGCATTTGGCCAAATAAGAAGAATATTTATACGATAGGATAATTCTCCCATTCTATGAGGAGCCAAAGAACCCACAGAATTGCAATAAAAGTAAAAGGAGAATATGGCCATTCACTGGCTGCACCTGCCTCATACGGCCATTTGTGTAGTAGTGTAATCCACCAAGTGAATACGAGAAGGCAAGGCATTTTTCCGTCCGTTGGTATCTACACTAATGTATGCAACTTATGCAACTATCCTTTTTCTGTTATACACAGACAGCCCAAGAACAGTTTACAACTACAAAAGCTCTGTTAGTGCTCAGTCGAAACACTATTGCCATTCCTATCTACTATATCTTCTGTTGGGACATATCTCTCCATCGGCTGATCAGATAGATGCGGTATATCGTTTTTGTCTAGCGGTCAGCGCGTCGACGTTTGCTCTTTCCTTCCACCAAACCCATGAACTTCCTACCGGCATGTTGACCAACATCTTCACGCCATTCTCAACAACTTCCAACACGCATCGACTTCGAGTCATCGGGAGCCCAGGAATGGACGCTACCGGGCTACAAAAACTAAGAAGCTTTCAAAAGCACTCTACACGATAAGTCCCGAAACAATGTCTAACTGCTCCTCATAAACTTCTCAAAGGCATAGACTTCGAGTCATCTGGAGCCCAAAATAGACCCCGACCCCAACGAATGCTAGCATACATTGAATCCACAAAGCATATATCAACCACTGTGTTGAATATGGTCCCTGCCTACATCACTGTAGGATCGTTATGGGATGGTGGTATTGATATGGAAAAGCCAAGTACAGAAAATCTGTGCTTCTGGGGGAAAGTAAGAACCTTCCAAATTTAATATACTGGACAAACCTCAAGCACATTCTAACTGCTTCATCATCCAATAGAGGCACTCCCAGCACACTGCTCGGCTCCCACATATACCATAACCGGCAAGAGAACGTGGAGGTTATCGCGGAAGAACACTCAAACATTGTATCTCCCAAGCCAAACCTCAAAATCCAGACACCAAAAGCTGTTTCCACGGTACGATGACGGTTTTCTAAACCAATATATGGATTTTACGCCGGGATAGTACAAGAAAGGAAGAAGGAAGCAGCTTCGGGGGTCTCAAGCATCATACAGTTTGAGTACTGTCATTAGAGAGTCAAGATCTTCTCTCTTTCTCTGGTTGATCCTGACCGCGACCTCTGGTGAACTGGACCTTACAGTCCTAGTCAAACTAGCCGAACTTCTCTAAAGTCTTCCGCCATGTCGAAGAGAAGAGGTGAACTGGAGCCTAGAAAGCTCTAGTACGTCGGCCAATCTCTTCAAAGAGCTCATAGGGGCCATGCGACACTGGGGCTTTCTGATTGAACCCGTCAATCTTGCAATACTATGAAGGGGAAAAAAGAAGACAAAGGCCAGAAGTCTTAACAAAAAGTCGAAAATGAGAGTGATAGTTTGGCAAACCCTATTCATGCCACACTTCTATACGGGCAAGATTGACGGGCTCAATCAGAGAGCCTCCGGGGCCTCCAGTCGTTGCAAGGCCCCTATGAAGAGATTAGCCGACGTACCGCCCTTCTTTCCAGTCAATACTGACAGAGTGGAAGCTCACTTCCATGTGGGCAATGCCATCTAACTATGAGGCAAGTTGCCTCAGGTTACAGCTGCAAAAGACATCGTCCTCAGTATCATTGCAAAGAGCAGCTGCCCGAGCAAGAAGGAGGTAGAATGGGAGAAGATCAAGGCACATTCAGTCAGTAAAGAAGATGGTGTGGAGGTGAAGGAGAGATATGGTGTTGGAATAGCGGTTCTGCCAAGTAGGTCGAAACGATATATCACTGGCTACTTGGAGCAGACGGAGCGACAAATGTCTCAACATTTGAAGCCAGGCTTCAGGCACTGCAAAAGCAACCGGATTCCTCTTCCGACTTTTGCGAAGAACAAAGTGGCCGCATGAGGAACTGGAGCATACTTGCTTCGCACGGAAGAAGAATTGGTAAGAAATATATACGGGGAGGTTGAAGGGTCGAATATATCACGGATATCAGCAACAGTATGACCCCTTGCATAGCCTGCAGATGTCAGCGAGTAGCTTATCAGAGTTGTGTATGAGTAAGTTTATAATTGGATCAGATGATTAATGTAAATAGTGGGATAATTATGTGATCTATTATGTGAGAAGTACAGAATTTTTGTAGTGGAACAAATCTACAAGGAGACTCATGCTCATTCACCAGTGTGATTTTGTCAGACGTTTGCCGAATTGTATGGCATAATTTTGATTCTAATGCAGTGTCTTAACTCATTAATAGTATTCGCTTCCCTGAAGCTCAAGCCCAATTACCGATCATTTTCCGCCCGCGACTCCTCGGCCATACCGATCTTCGCTCGTTTCGAGAGATCAGCTTGTAACGCCTTATCGATGGCTGCATTGATCTCCTTGACCTTTTCCAAAGCAACAGAAGTCTTATCCACAAAGACCATCGCATCCACTGGAGATCCAGAGAACTTGGAGACGAAGCACACATCACCCGCATTGTTGATGCCAATTACGACGTCGGCTTCCGCTGCTTGCTCCTCCTTCCGAGTTGCATCAATAATGACCCGCTTTCCTTCATCGAATGTGTGGAAGGTAACAGACAGGGGCTTATGCGTGATGTTCAATGCGACAGGAACACGCTCATCGAGCCCGTAGACGATCACCTGGCCATCCTTGACTACAGCGTCTTGACGGCGGAAATGCTGCAATCCAGCCATGATACCAATACAAGCCGCATCAATCAGATTGCCATCGTAGTCGGTAACGTGGACGTCCGCGCGGATGCTCCAGCAGCTGACACCCTTGAGGATACAGAGGGACTCGGTGTCCAGGGCGTTGGAATGGCGAACGACACGGTCGAGGACATTGGTGACATATGTTTCAAAGTCTCCTTGTCTAAAACAGAAATGGTTAGCTGGAACATTGCTTGCTCGCGGCTGATGAGGAATTCATACCGGCCATTGTCCCAAGCGGGAGAGCCCATGGCAGTTAGCTCCATGGCGATCGTGAAAAGACCGTCGAACGGACGATCATCGTGAGGTTTCGTGACTTCAGCTGAGATACGGACAATAAGGCTGCAGCGGAAGAATAATCAATTAGCGTCGTTGAAGCAAGCTGCAATGAGTCTACTCACCTGGTTTTGCCGAGCTGCACCTTCACATGTCCATACTCCTCCCCGAACGACACGTTCAGCGGACGCAGCTGGTCGAAACCGCGACCGTCCAGTCGCACATCATCGCGCAGCGCATTGAGGATGAAGTCGCGCTCAGTGACGGAGAGCAATGCTTCTTTGTTCATGATTGCGGAGGCGGATTTGGCCCCGGCGGGGGTCACGGCGGACTTTCTGGGAAATTTCCTGCATGCCGCATCGTCATCGAGGCGGCGGGCCAATGTTGTTCCTCGTATAGCCAATGAGAAAAATTGCTCGCAGGCGGTGAGAGGCTGACTCATCTTGTGGCCTGAGGTTGCATATCGGCGATCATTATCAGATCTCATCCTCATCGGAGTGTCAACTACCACCAACACACAGTCTAACAGCCGCCATCATGACTACGGGTATGTATTTATACTCATTGGATTTGAGAAGCTATGTACTGACTACTGTATAGCTCACAGGCCCACGTTCGATCCCGTATGTACCCCAATCATTTGCTCAGCGCATGAAGCTCATTGAAACAGGCACAAGGAAAGGAGGCCCTCCGCGGCCCTGCGTACCATCAACGTCTACTCCCGGCTTACACACACCTTAAGACACGGTAAGTGGCTTGCAAGTTGTGTGCGATCATCACTGACGTGTCAAAGTCAATTCGGTCAGGGTAGTGAAGTCGAAACCCAGCAACGCGATTTGCGCGCCGAGCTGCTCCAGGCGGAGGCTGCTCATTTCGCCAAGAAGAACGGAGTTCCCGTGGACGAGCCCAAAGTCGAGACCGCTACGCCCAAGCGCCAGTTGGAAGGTGGTTCACCCGGTGGTGATGCAAAGACAGAGGAAGAAGATCCAGAAGCCAAACGACGACGAATACTAGAGGAAACTCGAGACATAGATGCAGATTCTGATGAGTCGGAAGGGGATAGCAGCGAGGACGAAAGGTCAGACTTGCGGATATCCTAGGTTCGCGCGATAGTGCTGACAGGATGCAGTGACGATGAAGAGGACGAGGCTGCCGAATTGATGCGCGAGCTGGAGAAGATCAAGAAAGAGAGGCTCGAGCAGAAAGAGAAAGAGGTTTGTGCAGAGATTTGAATTCAGGATGAGTTACTGATAGCTGTCAGGAACGCGAGCGTGCTGCACAAGAAGAGGAGCAACGCGAAGTCGATATCGCACGCGGCAACCCGCTGCTTAACCCCCAAGACTTCAATGTGAAGCGCAGGTGGGACGACGATGTGGTGTTTAAGAACCAGGCCCGTGGTACAGAAGATAGGCGGGGCAAGGAGTTTGTTAACGTAAGTCTTGCCTTGTATGTATTATGTATGATGTTATGGTGCTAATTGGCATGCAGGATCTGTTGCGATCGGACTTCCACAAGAGATTTATGGTGAGTTGTACGCCTGGAATAGCGAGGAATCTACTAACTCGTGTAGTCGAAATACGTCCGCTAAGCTCGTGCCCGACAAACGCACGCACTCCTTACAGCAGTCAATCCGACGACTAGTCCTATCTTAGAGTCGTCAATCGGTCCCACTCATACCAGATGCAGCATCGTGGCAGAAACACTCCCATGTCAACATGAGAATAGAGAAGCAGCACGAGCATATGCTTCCCAATACAGCACAGGAAGAAAGCGCGACGACAAGCGAAAGAGTGAATGGGTGATCTAACACATGGCGCTATCATATTACTTCTCATAGTGTATACCCACATCTCAATCAAACCAATTATCCATATAGCCCAATATAGTTTAGTACCTAAGTAGTCTCCTATCATATCAACCTGATAGACACCGTACTGCCGGCAGTACCCACACCGCTCCCAATCTACTTGCACCGCAGCATCCATCACAGTATCCTATTCCATCTTTTCACACAAACAAGGAACCAATCGCTGTCCCAGCTTAAACACCTCAGAAATGGATTCTCAACCGTCATCGAAAGCGCTTCACTGTAAGCTGAATCCAGCCGACATTTCAGTCTCAGCTCCCATTCCTCCGTCGCAAAGCTAACAACCATCATCCGTCGCAGATCGCATCAACACCAACATCTCGCAATTACTCCAACGATTCGAGAACATCATGGCCACAGCAACTGTTAGCTCACCTGTCCTCCTCCAACCCACACAAAGAAATAACCATTAACCCGAAAACTTCAGACCGAAAGCACCAGCCACACCTCCACCGCCGTCGAGACATATCAGCTCGACGTGGAGTCCACAGCATTAGTACGTCCAACAAATCTTACAAAAACCATATACAATTCTTACAGAGATAAATCTGGGATAGGTCCGCGCCGCAGAAGACATCATCGCCTTAACCCGAACAATGAAAGAAACATGGCTATTCGGGAAACTCGACACACTAGGCGAAGACGAAGCGGACGTGAAGCGGCGCGAGGAATTAGAGATGAATGCGGAGGCGATTCAGAAGGCTATTGAAGATGGGGGTTTTTTGAAGGCTGCTAAGTGAGCAGCTGCAGCTTTGCTTTGAGTTGTATACTGTGGTGCATGGCGAATACTGGGTTGGTTTGTTGGTTGGTTGGTTATTGCATGGAGTTGGTTGGTGGGATGGCGTTGGGTTTTCTCTTCTTTGATAGAAATGTGAATTAGGTAGTGTGTATATATTATTATTATCCTTAATATCATTAAGCTGTAAATATACCCTTTACTACAACTATATTATACATAATAATCTGGGGTAGTCCGGTCGAAGAAGTAAACTAAAAGCACGTGGTTACCACCACCCCAGCGGGGAATATCCTTGAATCGCGAACCGTCTGATAAAAGCTTCCTTCCCTTCCCTTCCTATCAAATCCCCCCCCCCCCCCCCCCCCCCCCCCCCCCCCCCCCCCCCCCCCCCCCCCGCCCCTCCCTCCCTCCCTCACTACCAACAACCACCCTCCTACCCCCCCCCCCCCCCCCCTAGCACCCCCACCGCGTCCCTCCCTCCCTCCCTCACTACCAACAACCACCCTCCTACAACACATACCTACCACCATCACCACCACCACCACCACCACAATTCTTCTCAAAAGAATAACCACCAAAATGCCTCCCTCACCCCGCCCCCTAACCCTCATCGTCGCAACCACCCCCATCCCAACCCCAACCCCAACCCCCGCCAGCACCACCGAGAGCAGCAGCAGCACCACCACCACCCCAATCCGCCTCGGCATCGGCCACTCCGGGACACTCCCCTGGCCCCGAATCAAAACCGACATGTCATTCTTCGCACGGGTGACCTCCCGCCCGCCAGTGCCCGGAACCACCAACGCGATAATAATGGGTCGGAAGACGTACGATTCCGTGCCGGCGCATCTGCGGCCGCTGGCGAAGCGCATTAGCACGATTATTACCCGGGATGTGGAGGGGTTGAAACCTCGGGTGGCGAGGGAGGTTGAGGAACGGAAAGCTAAGTTGGCTGCGTCTGCGGCAGCATCTACATCTGGGGGTACTGCTGTGCAGCCTGCTACGGACGCGATCGTGTGCGGAGGTTTGAGTGATGCGCTGCAGGAGCTGGAGACGAGGTATGGAGAGGGGAAATTGGGCAAGGTGTTTGTGATTGGTGGGGCGGAGATATATGGGGCTGTTTTGGCTGCGAAAGGAGGGCCGGTGAGGATTGTGATGACGAATGTGGAGAAGAAGGGGTATGCGGAGGGGGATCGGGGGGAGGTGTTTGAGTGTGATACGTTTTTCCCGGTGGATGACGAACTGTTTGGGGAGAAGGAGGGGTGGAGGAGGGTTACGACGGAGGAGGTTACGGAGTGGGTTGGGGAGGAGGTTACCGGGAGGTGGATTGAGGAGGGGGATGTTAGGGTGCAGATGGTGGGGTATGAACGGGTGTAAATGGTAGAGTTGAGGGAGGGTAGAGCTATGTGCGCGGGCGTACTCGGTGTCTATCATGGTGAAGTTGATATAGTTCTGGCAGAGTCTATGTATACGGCAGATATGTACAGTCTAGATAACAACTAGCCGCCCTAATAATGCTGGTACAAATCACATGCTCTCGCTGAAATAACAATCAAAACCCAAATCAGAGGCAAACAAACCAACTCCTTGCTAATATACAAGCACAGGGAGTATGCACATTGCTGGATGCAGCTGTCAAATACTTGTCAATAATCGCTGAACGATGTCGTAACGAAACACTGCAACGCTGAACGCTGATAATCACATCACTCATTCTCTTTCATATACTTCACAAAGGCTTTCTTATGTACTAAGCCGGCATACTGGCCATCATGCGACACGCACAGATAGCGCAGACCAAGCTTGGCAAAGCATTGATACACGAGGTCGATAGGCGAATGGATGTCGAGGGCAAGGGGGGACTGCAGACGTCAGATTTGTCAAAGTAAAAGGATGGAGCTACATACCGGATCAATGTATTGTCCAAAGTCGACGCGGCCGGTTTCGGCTTCATCTTCACTACTGTCAGAAACAGCCGAAGAGCCGTCGAGACTCATCAGGCAGAGGGTGTTCTCCTCGTCCGCGAGGTTGTCCAGTGCGTACTCCAGCTCAGGTGCCGGGATCAAGCCGGTAAGGACACCATGGCGCAAGATCGGAAGACCACCGTCGAGTTCGCCCGCCATCAACAGGTTCTGAAGTTTCGAACGTAGCTCGCGTGCCGGCACAAAGGACGAGCCCGAAATGTCAATGATACGACTGGAGCGAACCGGCCGAACGAGATCTCCGAGCTGCGCATCCGACGTTGGTTGATGCTTACTGTCCAGGAACGGGTAAGAATTCATATCGGTCAACATATCCTGTTTGAATTAGCCCACATCTTCACACAAAGCAAACTGAAGTACATACGTAGATGCTGCGAGGTTCGATAGCATCGGCAGTCCACTTGGCACACAAAACAGCCACAGAAAATGGCAGCACGTGGTCCAAACTTCCTGTGAGCTCAAAGAGAATGACGGCCAGTGTAACAGACAGGCGTGTCACTCCACACATGGTTGCACCTGCTGCGACCATGGCGTACACTCCTGGCGTCACGCAGGATTCCATGCCGGCGGTGGCGGGACATGACGATCCAAAAAGAAAAGAGGTGGGATACTTCAGTACCAAGTACTGTGCTGCATGTCCAACGATGCGGCCCAGAAGACCACCAACCACCATGGAAGGGACGTAGATACCACACGGCACCTTGATTCCGAACGTCACCACCGTGAGAAGACTCTTGATGACAAACGCAACAAGCAAATAACGAATAATTTCTCCGATCCCCTCCTCCGGCGGACACAGACCAGTCGGCGATGAGGACTCGTGATCACAAGGGCTAGCCAACTCAAACATAAGTTCGGAGACGGGCAGTTTGGTGTAACGATTCCAAAAGCTAACCAATCCGGTCAAAACAGCAACAAGCACGACCTCGATCATTGGCCAACGTTTGATGAACCAAATTCTCCGGAAAGACCGCGCCCAGAGGTTCGAGGCCTTGATGAACAGAGCACCTAGCGCTCCACCGAGGACACCTAGGAGGATAAAGATTGCCATTTCGAACATCTCCCAGTCACCCAGATAGCGGACCTGGAACAAGACAATCTTGCCTGTGCCGTAGGGATTGAGGAACTTCAAGGAGAGAGCTGCTGCGATGCAGCAGAAGAATGTTCTGAACAAAGTCTTCGGAGGGAAATAGTAGCTAACTTCCTCTAAACTGAAAAGGACACCACCGATCGGGGCACCGAACGCTACCGCCACACCACCTGCAGCACTTGCGCTCAAAACCTCACGCCTCTTGCCATCGTTATGGTTATACTTGGCAAAAATGCGACAGCAAATATTGCCCACACATGTCGCGATGTGCACATAAGGTCCTTCTTTGCCCAAGCTGAGGCCTGACGAAACGCTGAACACCAGCGCAAGGGTTTTGATCAAGAGAGTCTTGAAGCCAAGGTATCCATGCAGAACGAAGCCGCTGTTAATGACCTTGACCTCAGCCACGCCGCTACCTGCCGCAGGATAATAAACCATGGCAGGACGTGTGGGAATGGCGGAACTAAGAGCCTGCTGGCTGGAAGCAGATCCGGGCGAATTACTATTTGCATTGTTTCCTTTTGTACTCCGTGACGACGCCGCCCCAAGGTTTTCATCCAAAGTTGTCAGCGACACCGAGGATGGAACCACGGTCTTTGTAAATAGCGTCAAGAGGCACGAGATGACAGAAAGAAGCACCACCCAGAAGATGAACATGCCGTAGTTGACCCAGTAGTTATCCGGTCCTGAGGGACTGTAGATCTGGGACCAGGACCGCCACGCCGGGCAATTCGAGCCTCCTGTACAGCAGCTCTGACGGCTGTGGAACCAGTGTGTAGTACAGAAGCCTTCCTTCACGTCAAAGATGAATTCCTCCGTCACGTCTACCGAATAAGCTATCGCGGCCGTGATACAGCCAATCAATGCGACCAGGACCCAGCCCTGGGAGCCATCGAGCCATGCCAGCAGACGACCGCGGATATCCTTGCGCTTGCGCAGCTCCCGAAGACGAGCCCCGTCTATGATACTGTCATGAACCCAGTCAGTGGAGGTGAACTGGTCATACCAGCTCCGCTCATCCATGAATGAAGCCGTCAGGCCATCTTTGACGGAAGCAGCCAAGCTTTCCGCCTGCTCCGCATCGATACTGCCGCGTCGACTAAAACGGATCGCCTGGGAGTTGGCGCGGCTATGGTGTCGCGACCGGCGAATGCTTCCCGTCATTAGGGTGTGTCTAAAGTTGAAATCGGGCCCCGTATTTCCAGAAAGATTGGTATATGAACGTCGTGGCATACCCCGCCGGGTTTCATTGCCCTTCGGTAGAAGACTTGTGGTTTCGCCTACTTCCATACTCGGATCCGAAGGTTCATGAGGAGTTTGGACTTCAGAGAGAAGGCTATGGGTTCGTCGAACGGCAGATGGCGAGGGGGGAGCTGTTCGCGAGGGAGTCCTGCGGGCGTCCGATGCGCCGGAGGGAAGCTCGGCTTCCGGGAGAGCGCCTTGCAGATTGGGAGGGACTGAACGAGGCATTTTTGGAAGACTAGGGAAGCAAGAGCTGCTTCGGACTTAATATATGCGGCCTGGAGATAGTCAAGTCAGCCCAGGCAGTCCGGGGTCTGCCAAATGCAAACCAGCAGCAGCAGGGACGGAGAGATAAGAACAACCCTCAGCAGCGGACATATCCAACAACATTTAAGCCCGAGAAGAGGCCGAGAAAACGAACAGTGGGGACTCCGACTAGTTCGGTGGTTCTCCAGCGCGCGCACAGTAGATGGCGGTGAAGTTGCCGAAGTGAAGAGACTAAGAGAGACGGCAAGAGACAAATAAACACGGCAGTCGCAAGGTTAGTTAGGGGGTGAGTTGAGTGAGGCTGTAGAGGAAGCACACAATGAAAAGAAAGAAAGAGCTTAGCGAGAAGTGAAAGAGATGACACAATTAAGAGGGGCAGGCAATAATAGTTGTTAAAATAAGAATAATAATAATACCGTCTCAAAAAGGAGAGAGGAAAAATAAATGCAGGAGGCAGCGATGGGCACGACATCCGAGGAGATCATGGCCACCAAAGCAGATAAAACGGGGCTAAAGGCGCATCATCTGACGATCGGAGTCCGAGTGGTCCCTTGACTTCTTGACTTGGTTGGTCACCACGCCCTAATCATTTCCCATCCGCTTCCCAAGAGAGGATGGTTTTCATGTCTCTCCTTTGAAACCTTGTTGCTTTTAAATCTTCCCACCTTCCACCCCCCCCCCCCCTCCTTTCGTGAACTTCCCTGCCATATAATAGCAGATGATGAAGGGAGTGGAGGGGGGGAAAAAGACAGCATGACAAACGGTCAGATAAATAAAGAATCCTGGGGGACCCGATCCATGGCACGTGCATTGTCACGATAATGGCGGCCGTGTAACATGCCAATGATGCCATTCATTCCCCACTCTCGCCTAATTATTACTATCTCCAAGCTTAGTACGTAGTCTAGCTGCTGCTGCACCCCGGATGTCCGCCGCTCTTAACGGCTTAACTGCCTGTCCATTATACCCCTGGGATGCGAGGCATGACCCCTCCATGAGGCACCCTTTCCCACGGCTGAACCCGGTTTAGAAATGAGGCGTGAGCTGGCCTTGACTGCACTACTACTTTATTTCTACGGGCGCCTGATTACTGCAATTGGTTAGGATGATCTTCGTGTCAAAAGATCAACACGATAGTTGAGGCGACATTGACGATGTCTGTGTCCTAAGATGGAGTCATAAACGACGTTCTTATCATGGCCGCATTGTACTGTAGTAATTGTGCAGCAGACTCGACTTTTCAGAGGGTGGATATATACTAGTACAATCCACCTCCACTCCGATGGTGTCACAGCGTCATCTTCACCACTGTCACTCACAAAAGGAATAGTAACATCTTTATCCATGACAGCACCCGCTCAAAGGGTCTTTTTGATCCGAACAGATAATTTGTTTTGCCGCTTCCCCGCATGATAAAGCAATATTGAACTCTACCAGTTACATTATACCTCTTTACTCGGTCGATGCAGGCTACCATGGCTCCACTCCCGTGCATGCATGGCAATGTATACTTTGCCACTCTGCACAGCTACCAAGATCTGATGCCGTACTTTAGGCTTTTGTTACGAGCAGATGGGAGGTGAGAAGCTTCACTGATCATACTTGATCAATAATATTGCGAAGTTGCCTGGTTCAACTGTACAAACATAATGTATCAAGTCTTCAGCTTGTCCCACACGTCGTGCCATACCCCAACTGCCACCGATCTTCCATCCACCATCTCCAAGACAAAGATAGCTTCAGTGTCCGGTTGGACAGCGATAATCAATCATCTGCGGAGACTTTTATCAAAACCA